TCCCTGCTTCAGCACACCTTATTTGATTCATGAACTGTAATCACCTGATGAAGGTGTGTTAAAGGTAGAGAAACATATTAATGACAAAGGAACTCCCTGCAATACACACCCAAAACGGTCAAGTCAATCAACCTTGTGTGCTGAAATAGCAGCAATCTCCTCTAAGCAGGAACCAGTCTGACCTTTAGTGAACCAATCTCTGTTGGATTTCCTCAGTGTCTGAAACCCCTTTTAGTTACTGTGTCTGAATAAACTCCTGCTCTGATTGGCTGTTTAATGGGCAGAGTCAGCCTAGAGGCAGAACTTTTAACTCTCCTCTAACCAAGAAGAACGTTACTACTGTTACCTTCCAGAGGAGAGAGCAGTGGTCATGTGACCTCCCCTCAGTTTGTAAAAAACTCAAATAAAGGACTTAAGTGTGAATCAGTGTCAGTCTGGTCTGTTCCAATGATAGGGACAGTAGTTTGTTTGAGTCATCTGACCAGTTCAGTTAAAGGGATAGTTCGGTATTTTTGACATGAATCTGTATGGCATCCCCATCACCAGTGGCATGCAATCACACTGACTTACCCCTGGCAGCGTCCTGTGAGCAGAGTTATCGTCCAGTTTTGGTCAAGCCAAAAGTAGTCCGGCAGGTTTGCTAGACCCAGCGAAATAAAACGTTTCTCTTCCCAAAACACTATGTGTTCAAAAGAGTGATATTTTTGCATCCCAAAAAGATTGTAGTGGAAAAAGTCACACGTCGTTATCAATTGGTCCTATTTTCTCTCTGTTCGTATCAGTGCGCGCCGTCATTCAGACAGCGAGCCCAACAACAGCCATGTCTCCCTCCGGAAGGAGACATGGCTGTTGTTGGGCTCGCTGTCTGAATGACGGCGCGCATTCAAACTTTTTTTTTTGGTCCAACATAAGCTTAGAGGCATTAATGCTGACACTGGCACTGACATTTTTTAGTTTATAAGCCTAAATATAATTGTTAACAAGGCTTATTCACTTTTGAACTTAACTTTTGAACTTTTCAGTTTCTGTTTTTGTTCTTGACTTGTCAGCTTTTTGTCCAACTTAATTTCCAGTAGGTATTATATCATTGAAGGGCTCATCTAATTGGTCAAATGCCAAAATCAGGTGAACACCAATGAAGCAGGATCTCTGCTGAATGGCTGGATATAGATCTAGTGCTTCTAGACCTCACCGAGGGATGCAGGGGACTCCATCTGTAAAGGGACTGCAAGTGATCAAAAATGGCCATTTGCCCTATAAAGGTTTAAGGAATTAAGGTAATTGTTCAAAACTATAAGAGGCAGATGATGTAAGAGCCTAAACTCTCTGTTATGTAGAGTTTTTATTGGATCTGATGTTAATCTGGGGGGGGGATCTCCTTACCATCATGTTTACTGTTACATATTTTACTAATGCAGTAAACAGCAAACTCCAAGAATAAAACTAGGTGGGATAGAGTTAGGTGGGATAGAGCTAATAGAGCTAGGTGACATAGAGCTAGGTGACATAGAGCTAGGTGGGATAGAGCTAATAGAGCTAGGTGACATAGAGCTAGGTGACATAGAGCTAGGTGGGATAGAGCTAATAGAGCTAGGTGACATAGAGTTAGGTGGGATAGAGCTAATAGAGCTAGGTGACATAGAGTTAGGTGGGATAGAGCTAATAGAGCTAGGTGACATAGAGTTAGGTGGGATAGAGCTAATAGAGCTAGGTGACATAGAGTTAGGTGGGATAGAGCTAATAGAGCTAGGTGACATAGAGTTAGGTGGGATAGAGCTAATAGAGCTAGGTGACATAGAGTTAGGTGGGATAGAGCTAATAGAGCTAGGTGACATAGAGCTAGGTGGGATAGAGCTAATAGAGCTAGGTGACATAGAGCTAGGTGGGATAGAGCTAATAGAGCTAGGTGACATAGAGTTAGGTGGGATAGAGCTAATAGAGCTAGGTGACATAGAGCTAGGTGGGATAGAGCTAATAGAGCTAGGTGACATAGAGCTAGGTGGGATAGAGCTAATAGAGCTAGGTGACATAGAGCTAGGTGGGATAGAGTAAGGTGGGATAGAGCTAATAGAGCTAGGTGACATAGAGCTAGGTGGGACAGAATTAGGTGGGATAGAGCTAGGTGGGATAGAGCTAGGTGGGATAGAGCTAGGTGACATAGAGCTAGGTGGGATAGATCTAGGTGGGATAGAACTAGGTGACATGAAGCTAGGTGGGGTAGAGCTAATAGAGCTAGGTGACATAGAGCTAGGTGGGATAGAGCTAATAGAGCTAGGTGACATAGAGCTAGGTGGGATAGAGCTAATAGAGCTAGGTGACATAGAGCTAGGTGGGATAGAGCTAATAGAGCTAGGTGACATAGAGCTAGGTGGGATAGAGCTAATAGAGCTAGGTGACATAGAGCTAGGTGGGATAGAGCTAATAGAGCTAGGTGACATAGAGCTAGGTGGGATAGAGCTAATAGAGCTAGGTGACATAGAGCTAGGTGGGATAGAGCTAATAGAGCTAGGTGACATAGAGCTAGGTGGGATAGAGCTAGGTGGGATAGAGCTAATAGAGCTAGGTGACATAGAGCTAGGTGGGACAGAATTAGGTGGGATAGAGCTAGGTGGGATAGAGCTAGGTGACATAGAGCTAGGTGACATACAGCTAGGTGGGATAGAACAAGGTGACATAGAGCAAGGTGGGATAGAGCTAATAGAGCTAGGTGACATAGAGCTAGGTGGGATAGAGCTAATAGAGCTAGGTGACATAGAGCTAGGTGGGATAGAGCTAATAGAGCTAGGTGACATAGAGCTAGGTGGGATAGAGCTAGGTGGGATAGAGCTAATAGAGCTAGGTGACATAGAGCTAGGTGGGACAGAATTAGGTGGGATAGAGCTAGGTGGGATAGAGCTAGGTGACATAGAGCTAGGTGACATACAGCTAGGTGGGATAGAACTAATAGATCTAGGTGGGATAGAACTAATAGATCTAGGTGGGATAGAACTAATAGATCTAGGTGGGATAGAACTAATAGATCTAGGTGGGATAGAACTAATAGATCTAGGTGGGATAGAACTAATAGATCTAGGTGGGATAGAACTAATAGATCTAGGTGGGATAGAACTAATAGATCTAGGTGGGATAGAACTAATAGATCTAGGTGGGATAGAACTAATAGATCTAGGTGGGATAGAACTAATAGATCTAGGTGGGATAGAACTAATAGATCTAGGTGGGATAGAACTAATAGATCTAGGTGGGATAGAACTAATAGATCTAGGTGGGATAGAACTAATAGATCTAGGTGGGATAGAACTAATAGATCTAGGTGGGATAGAACTAATAGATCTAGGTGGGATAGAACTAATAGATCTAGGTGGGATAGAGCTAGGTGACATAGAGCTAGGTGACATAGAGCTAGGTGGGATAGAGCTAGGTGGGATAGAGCAAGGTGGGATAGAGCTAATAGAGCTAGGTGACATAGAGCTAGGTGGGATAGAGCAAGGTGGGATAGAGCTAATAGAGCTAGGTGACATAGAGCTAGGTGGGATAGAGCTAGGTGGGATAGAGTTAATAGAGCTAGGTGACATAGAGCTAGGTGACATAGAGCTAGGTGGGATAGAGCAAGGTGGGATAGAGCTAATAGAGCTAGGTGACATAGAGCTAGGTGGGATAGAGCTAGGTGGGATAGAGCAAGGTGGGATAGAGCTAATAGAGCTAGGTGACATAGAGCTAGGTGGGATAGAGCAAGGTGGGATAGAGCTAATAGAGCTAGGTGACATAGAGCTAGGTGGGATAGAGCTAGGTGGGATAGAGTTAATAGAGCTAGGTGACATAGAGCTAGGTGACATAGAGCTAGGTGGGATAGAGCTAGGTGGGATAGAGCTAATAGAGCTAGGTGACATAGAGCTAGGTGGGATAGAGCTAGGTGGGATAGAGTTAATAGAGCTAGGTGACATAGAGCTAGGTGACATAGAGCTAGGTGGGATAGAGCTAGGTGGGATAGAGCTAATAGAGCTAGGTGACATAGAGCTAGGTGGGATAGAGCTAGGTGGGATAGAGCTAATAGAGCTAGGTGACATAGAGCTAGGTGACATAGAGGTAGGTGACATAGAGCTAGGTGACATAGAGCTAGGTGGGATAGAGCTAGGTGGGATAGAGTTAATAGAGCTAGGTGACATAGAGCTAGGTGACATAGAGCTAGGTGGGATAGAGCTAGGTGGGATAGAGTTAATAGAGCTAGGTGACATAGAGCTAGGTGACATAGAGCTAGGTGGGATAGAGCTAGGTGGGATAGAGCTAATAGAGCTAGGTGACATAGAGCTAGGTGGGATAGAGCTAGGTGGGATAGAGCTAATAGAGCTAGGTGACATAGAGCTAGGTGGGATAGAGCTAGGTGGGATAGAGCTAGGTGGGATAGAGCTAGGTGGGATAGAGCTAGGTGACATAGAGCTAGGTGGGATAGAGCTAGGTGGGATAGAGCTAATAGAGCTAGGTGACATAGAGCTAGGTGGGATAGAGCTAGGTGGGATAGAGCTAATAGAGCTAGGTGACATAGAGCTAGGTGGGATAGAGGTAGGTGACATAGAGCTAGGTGACATAGAGCTAGGTGACATAGAGCTAGGTGACATAGAGCTAGGTGACATAGAGCTAGGTGGGATAGAGCTAGGTGGGATAGAGCTAGGTGACATAGAGCTAGGTGGGATAGAGCTAGGTGGGATAGAGCTAATAGAGCTAGGTGACATAGAGCTAGGTGGGATAGAGCTAGGTGGGATAGAGCTAATAGAGCTAGGTGACATAGAGCTAGGTGGGATAGAGGTAGGTGACATAGAGCTAGGTGACATAGAGCTAGGTGACATAGAGTTAGGTGGGAAGCAGTGGAGCGTCCTGCTCTGGATCTACAGAGACCCTCTGATTGTTCTCTGCTGACCTCAGTCTGACCAGCAGAGGGAGCTGTTGGCTTCCATCCTGCCCCCTCTCATCTGTCCCCTGTTGACCTCTGACATATAAGGCCATGTCGGCACGGCGACGGCTGACGTCCATGCTTCTAAAAACAGCCCTGCTGCTGCTGCTGCTGCTGCTCCTTTGTTTAGCGCGGCGCTGAAGGCCTCCCTCCTCTGCCGTCCTCCTCTGCCGTCCTCCTCTGCCGTCCTCCTCTGCCGTCCTGCTCTGCCGTCCTCCTCTGCCGTCCTGCTCTGCCGTCCTCCTCTGCCGTCCTCCTCTGCCGTCCTGCTCTGCCCTCATGGAGAGTCTGGAGAAGCAGCTCATCTGTCCCATCTGTCTGGAGATGTTCACCAAGCCCGTGGTCATCCTCCCCTGTCAGCACAACCTGTGCCGTAAGTGTGCCAACGACGTCTTCCAGGTGAGTCCTCGCTGCTTCCTGTAGGTCCTGGATCAGAGTCCAGACCGCCGGGCCCAGATCCCCCTGCTCTGGGTCTGCTTCCTGCTGCTATCTGAGAACTTGGTAAACAGAGGAGGACTAGTTAACCTGCTGGTTAGCTCTCAGTTACAGTCTAAGCATGGTTTAACTAAGCAGAAAGTTAAACCATGCTGTGAGTTTCAGTTTGCAAGGACAGAAGAATCTTCCTCTCAGCTGATTGGCCGATGGCCTGTCAATCACCAGGCTAAGCGTCCAATCAGAGGGCAGGCTGCTGGTCCTGGCAGAGCAAAGATGGAGGAACCAGGAAGAGCTCCATCTGAGGAAGCTCCACACCGAGCAGCACAGCGAATGAGTGTCTGAAAAACACAACAAGCGTTTCCTGTGTTTATATTCAGCGCTGCTGATGCTCAGAGGGGGCGTGGCTTCCTGGATCTTACCAACATGTCAGAGATGCTCTGGGTTCTGCACGTCCTTAATGTCGCTGAGCACCGTGGTGAACGCTGAAGCAAACCTGTTTGAATAACTCTGAGCTAAAACAGCTGGTCTGCGTCGCTAGCTGCAGCTGCATGCTTGTTTCAACAAAGAGAGTAAATCCCGTAAAAATTCAAAAAATATCCACTGGACTTGGTTTTCAAGATTTGAAGACGTTTCGCCACCTCTCCAGGAAGCTTTCTCAATTCCTGGAGAGGTGGCGAAACGTCTTCAAATCTTGAAAACCAAGTCCAGTGGATATTTTTTGAATTTTTACGGAATGACTTTGACCTGGATGACTGAGAACCTTCATCAGCACAAAGAGAGTAAACCTTTGTCTGAACTGGCAAACTATTTAACATGCAGAGAAAACTCTAGATAACATTTAGCTCTGTGAGGTCAAAGGTCAAACCCACTGAGCCTCGAGTTATGGTGATATTCTGATAGCAGTGGCTGCAGGCTGGAGCTTCTAATCACTGCTCAGTGCTGGGGGGGCATGGGGGCATTGTCACACCTCTGTTCTCTGATTGCTGCCTGGAGTCTGATAGGCCTGGAGGGGGGTCCGGGGGGGCGCCTGGAGTGAGCAGCCTTGGCTGGCGGCTGCCGCTGGTCCCTTTGGGGTGGGGGGGGTGAGTGATTGATGTGAACTGCTCCCTCCCCCAGACATCTCCTATCATGGAGACCATCCCCTAACCTGGTCCTACCAGACCCGCTGACCTGTGCTCTGTTTCTGCAGGCAGCCAACCCCTACCTGTCCACCAGGAGCGGCTCCACGGTGACCTCAGGGGGGCGTTTCCGCTGCCCGTCCTGCAGACATGAGGTGGTTCTGGACCGACACGGCGTGTACGGGCTGCAGAGGAACCTGCTGGTGGAGAACATCATCGACATGTACAAACAAGGCAGCAGCAGGTACCAGGAACTCCTGTCTGTGAGTCAGAACCGGTTCAGAGATCCAGAACTCTGACCTGCTGCCAGAACTTCTGCAGGAAAAGAAGGTCTGATGTTCTGTGAGCTGCAGGCAGCAGCGGCTCCACAGATGTTTCTATGCAGGAGATAAAGGAGGCGGAGCCTGAACAGCCATGGCGCTCCAGGGTTCCTCAATGCACACAGATGCTGATTCCAAAAAAGTTAAAAACAATCCACTGGACTTTGTGACATTTTCTGACATTTTGAATTGAAGAATCTTCCTGGATGGAAGAGAAACGTCTTCATTGGAAACAAAGTCCAGAGGATTGCTTTATAGATGCAGTAGATGCTAAGTAAAACAGGAGCGCTCACTACGCTGAACACCTGCTTCACCCAACAAGACTAGAAAACCAATCAACTCCCTGCATTGTATCTAGGATTTAATCAGTGAAATCAGGTCTACTGTTTTTAATCAATAATAAATGTAGAAACACAATTAAACACAGGATTAAGCAAAATACTGATTATGAAATATTAGGACATTAGCGATAAAAAAACAATACTTTGTTGGAAACGGTTGTTTGTGAGGAAAAAAATCACAACAACCACATGTTCATTTATTACCTCTGATGGAAAACTATTTACCCCAGGGTGGGGTTAAGGGTCTTGCTCAGGGACCCAGAGTAGCAATCTGTGGGACCCAAGAGCAATGCTCTAAGCACTAGGCCGCCTCCCACCCAGAGCAGAGTTTGTTTGTTTGAAGCGATTCATCATAAAATCCCTGTTGGTCCTCTGATCCTGGAGGACAGCTGCACAGACTCCCTCCATCCTAACACCTCCTCCAGCTCCTCCCAGCCCATCAGAGAGACACAGTGGAGTCCTGGTCCTCCTGGTCCTCCTCCTGGTGGGACGTCCCTGGAACCCCTCAGAGGGAGGCGTCCATCAGATAAAGATGATCCTCCTCAGCTGACTCCTCTGGAGGACAAGCAGCTCTACTCTGATCCTCCCCCTGATGACCCAGCTCCTCCCCTCTCTCTAAGGGAGAACCCAGCCTCCCTGCAGAGGAAGCTGGGATCCAGGATCTGGTTCTTTGGATCTGGTGATGGGAGAAACGTAGACCAATCCCTTAATCAGAGCTTCACCCTTTCTCTCTGCATGTCTTGGACACTCGGGTGAAGAGGGGGGCATTCTCCTCTGGTTTAATAAATCCCTTCCTGGATGACATCATTTAAAGACAGACATCATGACACGGATAATAATCCGGCTCTGTTGCGCTGCCTGATGGTTTTAGGTGATGGACGGTTCCTAATTCACTTTTATTATCCTCTCAAAGGGAGACCTGATGAGTTTGATGGGACCAGGCTGGACAACAGGTTCTGAAGCTACAATCAGACCTAAAGCAGCAGGAGCAGCAGAAACGTTGCGTGCTGCTTCATGTTTGCTGCTTGTACCAGTTTAGTTCTGACGCGCGGCTTAAGCATCTTTGCTGCTCTAGCTGCGCGGTGGTAAAGTGGTTCTGATGCGCGGTGGGCGGAGCTACCCTATCCTTTCTCTGCCTGGAACAATGGCGGCTATATTAGCTGTGATCAGCGGGTAGAAAGTAGTTAGAATCTATGTTGAAGTGAGAAAGTCCTCCTGAAAACATGGTCTGTGCAGTCAGTTCATCCAGATTACCATCCTGCCTTCAAAGATTATTTCTCTGTGGGAGCCGCTCAGACCCCCACATACCGGCGCTGCGCTGTCACTGGGAATCCCCAGCAGCAGCTGCCTCAGGCCCGCTCGCCTCTCCAGGGTTTTCCCCTCCTGTTGGTGGCGGCTGGAAGTAGATGTTAGCGTTTTTCAGGTCTGTGCTACAAACTGCAGGCAGCAGGATAATAAAAGCCAACATATTCTGCCGGCAGGTTTCTACATTTGAAGTTTAAGGGGAACGCCATGTTTTTCCATTGTTTCCTTGATTTTCCGTTATTCCATCATGTTCTACTCACCCATATGAGTTTAGTGTCATTTGGAGCCGTTCTGAAGATATTCCGTTAGGTTATATCCAGGAACGTCTTCCTATGGGCAACGACTTGAAGCCACAAACTAAACTGTTCATCATTTATTCTTTATGGTACGCCAGCATTCAGAACATGGAGACGAATCAGTCCCCCAGACATCCGCCGTTAGATTTATTATATTTATATCTTTTTAAAACAAAGCAGAGCGTGTATGACGTCATCCACACGCCACTGCAGGACCTTCTGCTGCTCCTTAATGCGCGTCAACCATTGACTTAGCATGTAAACCAGCTGCCTCTGCTGCTAGCACTTTGACTGTAGCATTGCACAGCTTTACTGGTCCTGTTCAACAGCAGGACAAGGATCACAACAGAACCAGAACCTGACTTTATACAGAACACAGGAGGTCCAACCAGGAGGTTGGTTGGAGCATCCATCCTAAATGCTGCTACTGCTCTCTGTGAAACCATGCTTTAAAAGGTCTTCCATCAAAGTCTGTGAGTGAGACGTTCCCTCACGGTCAGAGAGCGTCTGCTAGATCAACGCTTCCAGAAGTAGCCAGAGTTATGAGGATGTTATGGTTCACCATGATCTGGGGGTTAGAACAATGCATGGACCATATCAGGACTGTTAAAGGAGGAAGATGAGTCATTAGACATCAGACAGGAGGAGTTATGCTAGTGCTATGGCTAGCTAACTAGCCCCCACAGCTTTAACAAAGAGGAGTTCCTGAGGCGCAGCACCAGAAAAGTTTAAATGTCCTCCAGCAGTCTAAGCCTATAGCAGCAGAACTATAGAGATAGAATGAAGCAGAATGATGAAAAAGGGGTCCCTATGTCCTCCAGCAGTCTAAGCCTATAGCAGCAGAACTATAGAGATAGATCAGGATAACCTGAGCCACTCTAACTAGAAGCTTTATCAAAAAGGAAGGTTTTAAGCCTTCCAGCAGAAAGATGTAATTGTCCTCAGAAGTACTCAGAGGATTCAGAGAAATCTGATCAAATTGGGAGAATCAACATGATCAAATACATAAAGCAAACAGGAAATGATGTAACATGCCTCTTCCTCTACAGCTCCCTCTGGTGGCTAAAATCACGGTCCAGGTCCGGAGGTATCGGTTAAACCTGCACACAGGCTGGGTCAGTCCGTTCTACCAGAACCGACCCACATTCCTGGTTCTGACATGTTTTCATTCTGTGTGCTCGTCAGCAAACCGGTTCCTGAGAAGAAGCAGGAGCAGCCCATGTGTGAGGAGCACCAGGATGAGAAGATCAACATCTACTGCATCAGCTGCAGCGCCCCCACCTGTTCACTCTGCAAAGTGTTTGGAGCTCACAAAGACTGCCAGGTGGCGCCCCTCAGTGACGTGTTCAACAAGCAGAAGGTACGCCGCTGATGCCATCAGTGTGACCTGCTGATGATGTCACATCATTAGAAGCCGGTCTTTAAAGAAACGTTTAAACGTTCATGTCTGATTAAAAATAGATGCTTTCAACTCTAATATAAGATGAAACACTTTTTTAAAACCTAAAATCAACCTGATTTATTTTGGTTCTATTCCATATATATTCTCTGCCTGCTCTACCCAGCCTGGTAATAAGTGCTTCTCTAATAACTGTCAGATCGCAAAAATGGTAATTATGAAAATAAATTTGTTAAATGGAGACATTTCAAAAACACCCAGTTTTTCAATACGTTTTACGCTTCGATGAGGTCAGTTTAAATTCTTATACTGATCCTAGTTCTGCTGGAGGTTTCTTCCTGTTCAAAGGGAGTTTTTCCTCTCCACTGTCGCTGCAAGCATGCTTAGTGTGAGGGATTGCTGAAGAGTCAATGAGTCGATGCAATCAGCTGGTTTTCCTTAGATAGAAAACTTTTAATCAATCTGACTGGATGATCTGGTTGAATTATAAAGTGACCTGAGATGACATGATGTGAATTGGAGCTATAGAAATAAACTGAATAGAATTGAATAATATTTTGCAGAACTGCAGTGGAAAAATGTTTTTTCTGTCACACAAGTGATCTACAGCTGAAGCTTTCTGCTTTGTGTAAAGATGAAGAGGAATATTGGATGTAGTAGAGGTGACGGTGCCCCCTAGAGCTGAAATAAATAGATGTGTTCACATCAACAAACGGATTAACAAGCAGTTTTAATTGAACTTGTTATTTAAAGGTAAAATGTGGACTTTGTGACCTAAAGAGTCGAAGCATACGAGTTATTTTGAATGATTCCTTAGGTTAACATACAGCGATTCACTTTCGCTTTACAGCCACAGGCTCTTATACAGTCATGGAGCTAAGGCTTTAGCTCTGCTATTTTTCCACCTGTTGGACTACTGGTCATGGCTGAGGCAAGATTAAACCTTCTGAGGCTGAAAAAGAGGAAGGGATCGAGGGAAAGCAAGAGTCCATCATGGAAAGTTTGTTGGCACAGACTGAAAGAAGAAGGCGGATGTAAAACCGATTCTCTGTTCCCAGCTTTATCATCAGACTGCTGAGGTAACACTTTGATCCTAGTATACAGTCAGAGATCTCTGTTATTATTTTCTATGTTTAGTAGGAGCTGGTGCAGATTCTCAGTCATCCAGGTCAGAATCAGTTCAAAACAAACCACTGGACTGTTTCATTTCAAAATGAATTCCAGGCTATAAAGAGTGGATCAACCAAAGCTGTGCTATGGCTTAGAAAACCTGCATATAGGTACTGGAAAACCAGCTCCACCCCTTAGAGGGAAACACCGTGATCTTACATTGGGTCCTTGATTTCCCGTTATTCCATCCTGTTCTACTCTCCCATCTGAGTTTAGTGTCATTTGGAGCCGTTCTGAAGATATTCCGTTAGGTTATATCCAGTAACGTCTTCCTATGGGCAACGACTTGAAGGCACAAACTAAACTGTTCATCATTTATTCTTTATGGTACGCCAGCATTCAGAACATGGAGACGAATCACTGTCCCCCAGACATCCACAGTTATATTTTTTATGTATGTGTATGAGGTCATCCCGCGCCGGACTGGAGTTTTTTTTTTTTTACTTTATTTAACCAATGTACATTACACCAGGCGGCTACGCTCTACCCCTTCTATTCATTCTAGCTAATCTGAATCCTTCAATTCCATTTGGATGTTCTGAATGCTGGCGTACCGTAAAGAATAAATGATGAACAGTTTAGTTTGTGCCTTCAAGTCGTTGCCCATAGGAAGACGTTACTGGATATAACCTAACGGAATATCTTCAGAACGGCTCCAAATGACACTAAACTCAGATGGGTGAGTAGAACATGATGGAATAACGGGAAATCAAGGGACCAAAGTAAGATCACGGTGTTCCCCTTTAATAATGGGAGTCATTGAGCTTGTTATTGGCCTGTAATACCCGATACTGGCCCATTCCTCTGAAAAGGCAGTCGTTAAGGCTCATTGTTGGCCTGGCTGACCTGGCCAGGTGTTTTGTTCCCCTGCATAGCGATGGAGGTTAAGATAATAGCAGGAAGGAATCGACTCTATCGCTGCATCGTGGGTTTGTGAAAACTGAAATCTGAGTCCCGTCCCGTCAGACTGACACCTCAGCAGTTCAGCACAGACGTGTCCATCAGCCCGGAGCCTGTTTTCCTGAATGTACTTCTGGTCTGAAGTTCCCGCCCTGTTCGGCCGATGTGACGTCCAAAGCATCCAACCTAGCCAACCATGGAAGCGTTAGATTCAGGTTTAGTGGATTCTCAGAATTTAATGGTGTCCAGCTCAACTCAGACACCAACGGAAACTTCAGGACAGGTGAGAAAAGGGGAAACAATTAGCAGAAGAGTCTGTAGTTCTTTGTTTACACCACAGGGGGGCAGCATCATTAGGAAACGCTGTAACTATGGATTTAACTGCTGCTGTGGAGAAACTGACTCCTTGTTGAAGGATAGAAACATTAAATAATGAATAAATATAAAACAGTCCTGATCACAGGGCAGAAGATGACGGTGAAAGGTCAGAGACATGGATGAACAAAGAGATGAACTCATGCGCTCTGTGTGTGCATGTCATGCAGGCTGAGCTGACGGACTGCATCTCCATGCTGGTGGGGAACAACGAGAGGATCCAGGCCATCATCAGCCAGCTGGAGGAGACCTGCAGAGCCGTGGATGTAAGTCCTCCTCCTTCATCCCCGACCGGACGCCCTCGGCCTCCTCTTCCTCACCGCCTGCTTGGTGTTTGCAGGAGAACGGCCGGCGGCAGAAGTCAAAGGTGTGTGAGACATTCGACCACCTGTTCACTCTGCTGGAGGAGAAGAAAGCCGAGATGACGGTCAGGATCAACAGCGAGCAGGAGGAGAAGCTGGACTACATCCGCAGCCTGAACAGGAAGTATGGAGAACATCTGGAGGGAACGGCCAAGCTGGTGGAGACGGCCATCCAGACCATGGAGGAGCCAGAGATGGCCGTTTTCCTTCAGGTGAGCCTCTGCAGCTTTAAACCCTCCAGAGCAGAGCAGAGCTGGTGCTCAGGTTCCTCTTCCCACCTTCTCCTCAGACAGCCAAGCCTCTGCTGCAGAAGTGAGTCCTGCTGCTCCTTTCTTCTCCTTCTGCTCTTCCTTCCATCCTCTGACCATCTGGTTCCCTCCCAGACTGCTCACGTCCACAGACACGTCTCACCTGGACCAGGTCCAGCCCGGCTACGAGGACATGGGCCACTTCACCGTGAACTTTGAGTTGCAGCGGCGGGCGCTGGCCGAGGTCGACTTCATCAAAGGTGAGCGTCCTTAGCGACCAATGAGAGAGCAGGACCGGTTCTCTGCTCTCACTGCTCCTGTGCTTCCAGCCGATGAAGACGACGATGACAGCGAGGAGGAGGTGGAGGCAGGAGGACCCAGACCGGGATCCTCCGAGTCACAGCCACAAGCCACGCCGGTGCCGCCCCTAGCCACGCCTCTTCAGAGAGCCCCAGATCCCCTCCCACCGCCACCACCCACTCAAGCCCCACCCCCACTGCCTCCCCCCACCACCAGCTCCGCCCCTCAGGTATGAAGCAGGTCAACCTGTGACCTACCAACCACCTGCTGTCAGTCTCCATGGTAACCAGCTTCAACCTCTCTGCTCCAGACGGATCAGCAGAGCGAGTCGGACCCAGATGGACCCAAACACGTCTTCTCCTTCAGCTGGCTCAACAACAAGTAGGAGAACCAGGAGGTTCCTGAGGAACCCTGGAGAGCCTGGATCAGTCAGAACTGGACCTGCTGCTTTGTTTAGGTTAGAGGCAGCAGAACCAGAAGGTTCTGAAGAACTTCAGAGGAACCTGGGTCACCATGTTGTTACAGTGAAATAAAAGTTTTGTTATGATGCGTGTGTCCAGGGTTCTTTGATGTTTACATTAAAGGTTTCAGGGAAAAGATCAAAGGAGATGTTTCACCTTTTAACGATTTATTGATGGCAGATCAAAGATGTGAACAGAACTTCACCTTAGAGCAGGTTCTGGTTCTACCAGAGAAGCAAGAACGTTGAGGCTCATTTCCAACTGCTGTGGACCTGCTGGGCCAGCTGCTCACACCGCAACATCTCCAGAACTTCCCATGGAGGCAGGAGATCAGATCCAGTGACAGGAGGTTCATCTGACCTTTTCATCTTCTCATATTCCTCCTGAAGAACGGCCCGCTTCACCTCCAGGAAGCTCCCGACTGCAGTGGTTCTGACTGAGGATGAGGTCCAGTTCAGGTCTTACAGTAAGTGAACAGTTTGGGCCTGATTGGAGCGGTTCTGATGGAGACTGAGGTCCGGGAAGTGAAGGGTTGGGCCCGATTGGAGCGGTTCCGATGGAGGCTGAGATCCAGTTCAGGCGTTACGGGAAGTGAACGGTTGGGGCCCCATTGAAGCGGTTCCGATGGAGGCTGAGGTCCAGTTCAGGCGTTACGGGAAGTGAACGGTTTGGGCCTGATTGGAGCGGTTCCAATGGAGGCTGAGGTCCAGTTCAGGCGTTACGGGAAGTGAACGGTTTGGGCCCGATTGGAGCGGTTCCGATGGAGGCTGAGGTCCAGTTCAGGCGTTACGGGAAGTGAAGGGTTGGGCCCGATTGGAGCGGTTCCGATGGAGGCTGAGATCCAGTTCAGGCGTTACGGGAAGTGAAGGGTTGGGCCCGATTGGAGCGGTTCCGATGGAGGCTGAGATCCAGTTCAGGCGTTACGGGAAGTGAACGGTTTGGGCCCGATTGGAGCGGTTCCGATGGAGGCCGAGGTCCAGTTCAGGCGTTACGGGAAGTGAACGGTTTGGGCCCGATTGGAGCGGTTCCGATGGAGGCTGAGGTCCAGTTCAGGCGTTACGGGAAGTGAACGGTTTGGGCCCGATTGGAGCGGTTCCGATGGAGGCTGAGGTCCAGTTCAGGCGTTACGGGAAGTGAACGGTTGGGGCCCGATTGGAGCGGTTCCGATGGAGGCCGAGGTCCAGTTCAGGCGTTACGGGAAGTGAATAGTTTGGGCCCGATTGGAGCGGTTCCGATGGAGGCTGAGGTCCAGTTCAGGCGTTACGGGAAGTGAACGGTTGGGGCCCGATTGGAGCGGTTCCGATGGACGCTGAGGTCCAGTTCAGGCGTTACGGGAAGTGAACGGTTGGGGCCCGATTGGAGCGGTTCCGATGGACGCTGAGGTCCAGTTCAGGCGTTACGGGAAGTGAACGGTTTGGGCCCGATTGGAGCGGTTCCGATGGAGGCTGAGATCCAGTTCAGGCGTTACGGGAAGTGAATAGTTTGGGCCCGATTGGAGCGGTTCCAATGGAGGCCGAGGTCCAGTTCAGGCGTTACGGGAAGTGAATAGTTTGGGCCCGATTGGAGCGGTTCCAATGGAGGCCGAGGTCCAGTTCAGGCGTTACGGGAAGTGAACGGTTTGGGCCCGATTGGAGCGGTTCCAATGGAGGCTGAGGTCCAGTTCAGGCGTTACGGGAAGTGAACGGTTTGGGCCCGATTGGAGCGGTTCCAATGGAGGCTGAGGTCCAGTTCAGGCGTTACGGGAAGTGAACAGTTTGGGCCCGATTGGAGCGGTTCCGATGGAGGCTGAGATCCAGTTCAGGCGTTACGGGAAGTGAATAGTTTGGGCCCGATTGGAGCGGTTCCAATGGAGGCCGAGGTCCAGTTCAGGCGTTACGGGAAGTGAATAGTTTGGGCCCGATTGGAGCGGTTCTGATGGAGGCTGAGGTCCAGTTCAGGCGTTACGGGAAGTGAACGGTTTGGGCCCGATTGGAGCGGTTCCAATGGAGGCTGAGGTCCAGTTCAGGCGTTACGGGAAGTGAACGGTTTGGGCCCGATTGGAGCGGTTCCGATGGAGGCTGAGGTCCAGTTCAGGCGTTACGGGAAGTGAAGGGTTGGGCCCGATTGGAGCGGTTCCGATGGAGGCTGAGATCCAGTTCAGGCGTTACGGGAAGTGAACGGTTTGGGCCCGATTGGAGCGGTTCCGATGGAGGCCGAGGTCCAGTTCAGGCGTTACGGGAAGTGAAGGGTTGGGCCCGATTGGAGCGGTTCCGATGGAGGCCGAGGTCCAGTTCAGGCGTTACGGGAAGTGAACGGTTGGGGCCCGATTGGAGCGGTTCCGATGGAGGCTGAGGTCCAGTTCAGGCGTTACGGGAAGTGAACAGTTGGGGCCCGATTGGAGCGGTTCCGATGGAGGCTGAGGTCCAGTTCGGGCGTTACGGGAAGTGAACGGTTTGGGCCCGATTGGAGCGGTTCCGATGGAGGCCGAGGTCCAGTTCAGGCGTTACGGGAAGTGAACGGTTTGGGCCTGATTGGAGCGGTTCCGATGGAGGCTGAGATCCAGTTCAGGCGTTACGGGAAGTGAACGGTTTGGGCCCCATTGAAGCGGTTCCGATGGAGGCCGAGGTCCAGTTCAGGCGTTACGGGAAGTGAACGGTTGGGCCCGATTGGAGCGGTTCCGATGGAGGCTGAGATCCAGTTCAGGCGTTACGGGAAGTGAACGGTTTGGGCCCGATTGGAGCGGTTCCGATGGAGGCCGAGGTCCAGTTCAGGCGTTACGGGAAGTGAAGGGTTGGGCCCGATTAGAGCGGTTCCGATGGAGGCTGAGATCCAGTTCAGGCGTTACGGGAAGTGAACGGTTTGGGCCCGATTGGAGCGGTTCCGATGGAGGCTGAGGTCCAGTTCAGGCGTTACGGGAAGTGAACGGTTTGGGCCCGATTGGAGCGGTTCTGATGGAGGCTGAGGTCCAGTTCAGGCGTTACGGGAAGTGAACAGTTGGGGCCCGATTGGAGCGGTTCCGATGGAGGCCGAGGTCCAGTTCAGGCGTTACGGGAAGTGAACGGTTTGGGCCCGATTGGAGCGGTTCTGATGGAGGCTGAGGTCCAGTTCAGGCGTTACGGGAAGTGAATAGTTTGGGCCCGATTGGAGCGGTTCTGATGGAGGCTGAGGTCCAGTTCAGGCGTTACGGGAAGTGAATGGTTGGGGCCCGATTGGAGCGGTTCCGATGGACGCTGAGGTCCAGTTCAGGCGTTACGGGAAGTGAACGGTTTGGGCCCGATTGAAACGGTTCCGATGGAGGCTGAGATCCAGTTCAGGCGTTACGGGAAGTGAATAGTTTGGGCCCGATTGGAGCGGTTCCGATGGAGGCTGAGATCCAGTTCAGGCGTTACGGGAAGTGAACGGTTTGGGCCCGATTGGAGCGGTTCCGATGGAGGCCGAGGTCCAGTTCAGGCGTTACGGGAAGTGAAGGGTTGGGCCCGATTGGAGCGGTTCCGATGGAGGCTGAGATCCAGTTCAGGCGTTACGGGAAGTGAACGGTTTGGGCCCGATTGGAGCGGTTCCGATGGAGGCTGAGGTCCAGTTCAGGCGTTACGGGAAGTGAACGGTTTGGGCCCGATTGGAGCGGTTCCGATGGAGGCTGAGGTCCAGTTCAGGCGTTACGGGAAGTGAACGGTTGGGGCCCGATTGGAGCGGTTCCGATGGAGGCCGAGGTCCAGTTCAGGCGTTACGGGAAGTGAATAGTTTGGGCCCGATTGGAGCGGTTCCGATGGAGGCCGAGGTCCAGTTCAGGCGTTACGGGAAGTGAACGGTTGGGGCCCGATTGGAGCGGTTCCGATGGACGCTGAGGTCCAGTTCAGGCGTTACGGGAAGTGAACGGTTTGGGCCCGATTGGAGCGGTTCCGATGGAGGCCGAGGTCCAGTTCAGGCGTTACGGGAAGTGAATAGTTTGGGCCCGATTGGAGCGGTTCCGATGGAGGCTGAGGTCCAGTTCAGGCGTTACGGGAAGTGAACGGTTTGGGCCCGATTGGAGCGGTTCTGATGGAGGCTGAGGTCCAGTTCAGGCGTTACGGGAAGTGAACGGTTTGGGCCCGATTGGAGCGGTTCCGATGGAGGCTGAGGTCCAGTTCAGGGCGTTACGGGAAGTGAACGGTTTGGGCCCGATTGGAGCGGTTCCGATGGAGGCCGAGGTCCAGTTCAGGCGTTACGGGAAGTGAACGGTTTGGGCCCGATTGGAGCGGTTCCGATGGAGGCCGAGGTCCAGTTCAGGCGTTACGGGAAGTGAACGGTTTTGGCCCGATTGGAGCGGTTCCGATGGAGGCTGAGGTCCAGTTCAGGCGTTACGGGAAGTGAACGGTTTGGGCCCGATTGGAGCGGTTCCGATGGAGGCTGAGGTCCAGTTCAGGCGTTACGGGAAGTGAACGGTTTGGGCCCGATTGGAGCGGTTCCGTTGGAGGCTGAGGTCCAGTTCAGGCGTTACGGGAAGTGAACGGTTTGGGCCTGATTGGAGCGGTTCCGATGGAGGCTGAGGTCCAGTTCAGGCGTTACGGGAAGTGAACGGTTTGGGCCCGATTGGAGCGGTTCCGATGGAGGCTGAGGTCCAGTTCAGGCGTTACGGGAAGTGAACGGTTTGGGCCCGATTGGAGCGGTTCCGATGGAGGCTGACGTCCAGTTCAGGCGTTACGGGAAGTGAACGGTTTGGGCCCGATTGGAGCGGTTCCGATGGAGGCTGAGGTCCAGTTCAGGCGTTATGGGAAGTGAACGGTTTGGGCCCGATTGGAGCGGTTCCGATGGAGGCCGAGGTCCAGTTCAGGCGTTACGGGAAGTGAACGGTTTTGGCCCGATTGGAGCGGTTCCGATGGAGGCTGAGGTCCAGTTCAGGCGTTACGGGAAGTGAACGGTTTGGGCCCGATTGGAGCGGTTCCGATGGAGGCCGAGGTCCAGTTCAGGCGTTACGGGAAGTGAACGGTTTGGGCCCGATTGGAGCGGTTCCGATGGAGGCCGAGGTCCAGTTCAGGCGTTACGGGAAGTGAACGGTTTGGGCCCGATTGGAGCGGTTCCGATGGAGGCCGAGGTCCAGTTCAGGCGTTACGGGAAGTGAACGGTTTGGGCCTGATTGGAGCGTTTCCGATGGAGGCTGAGGTCCAGTTCAGGCGTTACGGGAAGTGAACGGTTTGGGCCCGATTGGAGCGGTTCCGATGGAGGCCGAGGTCCAGTTCAGGCGTTACGGGAAGTGAACGGTTTTGGCCCGATTGGAGCGGTTCCGATGGAGGCCGAGGTCCAGTTCAGGCGTTACGGGAAGTGAACGGTTTGGGCCCGATTGGAGCGGTTCCGATGGAGGCCGAGGTCCAGTTCAGGCGTTACGGGAAGTGAACGGTTTGGGCCCGATTGGAGCGGTTCCGATGGAGGCCGAGGTCCAGTTCAGGCGTTACGGGAAGTGAACGGTTTGGGCCTGATTGGAGCGTTTCCGATGGAGGCTGAGGTCCAGTTCAGGCGTTACGGGAAGTGAACGGTTTGGGCCCGATTGGAGCGGTTCCGATGGAGGCCGAGGTCCAGTTCAGGCGTTACGGGAAGTGAACGGTTTGGGCCCGATTGGAGCGGTTCTGATGGAGGCTGAGGTCCAGTTTGGCAGTCATAAAGATCAAATAAAAAGGATTTTTTTCAGTAAAAACTCTTTTATTTCATGTTTTAATTGTACATTAGATAAGGGGGCCCTGACCCCAGCTTTGAGTTCCTCCTTTCAGCTCTCTTTAATTTTGCTCCTGTGATAATAATAATAATTAGTGTTATTAATCAGAGCGGTTCGCTGCTTTATTTGTATGGGGAGTGATGGGTTAAAAGGCTGCAGTAGGTTGCAAGTTTGATTCCCTGCCTGAGTTCCCTCTGACTCTGATGAGGTAGTTTGTCCCTGATGTGTTTCTGCTCCAGGAAATGTTCCTCTGCCTTATTGTGACAGTCGGGCTTTTATTGTGAAAAGTCGTGCTGGAAGCAGGTGTTGTGCCGAGAAATGCCTCCCCTGCCGCGGGAGCGCGCATCCCCCTGAACTCTCGCCCATTGTTCAGAAAACAGACTGAAATATGGAGGAAAAGGGAACTTTTAAACATATTCTTAATGTTTTCATATTTCTAATAAAATGGAGAGTTTTGGTCACAGATAAATTCTAATAAAACTGTTTTTTTTTGCATGGAGACACCATGAGCTCCAGTCAGCATCTATGAATCTATTCTCTGCTCAGTGGAGGATTTTACTATCAGATCCATTCTAGATCATTTCTCACATTTTACTTCTAAAAACTTAGAATCTTAGGCTACGTTCACACTGCAGCCTGAAGTGACCCAATTCCGATTTTTTTGCCCATATGTGACCTGTATCTGATCTTTTTATGACAGTCTGAACGACACAGATCGGATTTTTTCAAATGCGACCCAGGCCACTTGGATATGTGGTCCTGAATCCGATACGTATCTGATCTTTTCAAATGCGACCTGTGTCTGTACGGCCAGGTCGCATTCATCCGACCTACACGTCATTGATACTTGACAAATGTTACTAAACATTACTAATCTGCGTCCTACTAAGCGGAGGCGGGAAAAACTAACAACCATTGCGGAAGATAACACAGAGAGCAGTCAATGGAGAGAAAGTGAGGTTGCTGACTTAATTCATATTTGGAAAGATAGCTCGATTCAGATCAAACTCGAAGGGTCTTACTGGAACCGGGTCTTTCTTTTTGATCTTCTTAAAAAGATTTTGTTCGTAATGTGCCTGCTCCTGTTGGAGAAGAACTTAAAGAACGCAATATACGCTGCGGTATTACGAGTCATGTTTACTTCCGCAAACACTGAGGACGCTTGCTACATGTGACGTCATCGCGTCCTCAAGTGCGCATGCGGGACACTTCGGTTTAACGCTTTCAGTTCACACAGTAGATCACATACAAGTCGCATATACTTGGAAGTGTGAACGGACACGCAAAAACATCCAATTTCACAAAAAAATCGGAATTGAGCATTAAGGCCTGCAGTGTGAACGTAGCCTTAGAGTGCCTCCACCCTCAGAGCGCCACCACCCTCAGAGCGCCTCCACCCTCAGAGCGCCTCCACCCTCAGAGCGCCACCACCCTCAGAGTGCCTCCACCCTCAGAGCGCCCCCCATCCTCAGAGCGCCACCACCCTCAGAGTGCCTCCACCCTCAGAGCGCCCCCACCCTCAGAGCGCCTCCACCCTCAGAGCGCCACCACCCTCAGAGCGCCTCCACCCTCAGAGCGCCTCCACCCTCAGAGCGCCACCACCCTCGGAGTGCCTCCACCCTCAGAGCGCCTCCACCCTCAGAGCGCCACCACCCTCAGAGCGCCTCCACCCTCAGAGCGCCTCCACCCTCAGAGCGCCACCACCCTCAGAGTGCCTCCACCCTCAGAGCACCCCCACCCTCAGAGTGCCTCCACCCTCAGAGCGCCACCACCCTCAGAGCGCCACCACCCTCAGAGCGCCTCCACCCTCAGAGCGCCACCACCCTCAGAGCGCCTCCACCCTCAGAGCGCCTCCACCCTCAGAGCGCCACCACCCTCAGAGTGCCTCCACCCTCAGAGCGCCCCCATCCTCAGAGCGCCACCACCCTCAGAGTGCCTCCACCCTCAGAGCGCCCCCACCCTCAGAGCGCCTCCACCCTCAGAGCGCCACCACCCTCAGAGCGCCTCCACCCTCAGAGCGCCTCCACCCTCAGAGCGCCACCACCCTCGGAGTGCCTCCACCCTCAGAGCGCCTCCACCCTCAGAGCGCCTCCACCCTCAGAGCGCCTCCACCCTCAGAGTGCCTCCACCCTCAGAGCGCGCTCCACCCTCAGAGTGCCTCCACCCTCAGAGTGCCTCCACCCTCAGAGCGCCTCCACCCTTATAGCACCCCCACCCTCAGAGTGCCTCCACCCTCAGAGTGCCTCCACCCTCAGAGCGCCACCACCCTCAGAGCGCCTCCACCCTCAGAGCGCCACCACCCTCAGAGTGCCTCCACCCTCAGAGCGCCTCCACCCTTATAGCACCCCCACCCTCAGAGTGCCTCCACCCTCAGAGCTCCTCCACCTTTATAGCACCCACACCCTCAGAGCGCCTCCACCCTCAGAGTGCCTCTACCCTTATAGCACCCCAACCCTCAGAGTGCCTCTACCCTTATAGCACCCCCGCCCCTCAGAGTGCCTCCACCCTCAGAGCGCCTCCACCCTTATAGTACCCCCACCCTCAGAGTGCCTCCACCCTCAGAGTGCCTCTACCCTTATAGCACCCCCGCCCCTCAGAGTGCCTCCACCCTCAGAGCGCCTCCACCCTTATAGTACCCCCACCCTCAGAGTGCCTCCACCCTCAGAGTGCCTCTACCCGTATAGCACCCACACCCTCAGAGCGCCTCCACCCTCAGAGTGCCTCCACCCTCAGAGTGCCTCTACCCTTATAGCACCCCCACCCTCAGAGTGCCTCCACCCTCAGAGCGCCTCCACCCTTATAGCACCCCAACCCTCAGAGTGCCTCTACCCTCAGAGTGCCTCTACCCTTATAGCACCCCCACCCTCAGAGTGCCTCCACCCTCAGAGCGCCTCCACCCTTATAGCACCCCCACCCTCAGAGTGCCTCTACCCACAGAGTGCCACCACCCTTATAGCACCCCCACCCTCAGAGTGCCTCCACCCACAGAGTGCCTCCACCCTCAGAGTGCCTCTACCCTTATAGCACCCCCACCCTCAGAGTGCCTCCACCCACAGAGCGCCTCCACCCTCAGAGTGCCACCACCCTTATAGCACCCCCACCCTGAGAGTGCCTCCCCCCTCAGAGCGCCTCCACCCTTATAGCACCCCCACCCTCAGAGCGCCTCTACGCACAGAGTGCCACCACCCTTATAGCACCCCCACCCTCAGAGTGCCTCCACCCACAGAGCGCCTCCACCCTCAGAGTGCCACCACCCTTATAGCACCCCCACCCTCAGAGTGCCTCCACCCTCAGAGTGCCTCTACCCTTATAGCACCCCCACCCTCAGAGTGCCTCCACCCTCAGAGTGCCACCACCCTTATAGCACCCCCACCCTCAGAGTGCCTCCACCCTCAGAGTGCCTCTACCCTTATAGCACCCCCACCCTCAGAGTGCCTCCACCCACAGAGCGCCTCCACCCTCAGAGTGCCACCACCCTTATAGCACCCCCACCCTCAGAGCGCCTCCACCCTTATAGCACCCACACCCTCAGAGCGCCTCCACCCTCAGAGCGCCTCCACCCTCAGAGTGCCTCCACCCTCAGAGTGCCTCGACCCTTATAGCACCCCCACCCTCAGAGTGCCTCCACCCTCAGAGCGCCTCCACCCTTATAGCACCCCCACCCTCAGAGTGCCTCCACCCTCAGAGCGCCTCCACCCTTATAGCAACCCCACCCTCAGAGTGCCTCCACCCTCAGAGTGCCTCTACCCTTATAGCACCCCACCCTCAGAGTGCCTCCACCCTCAGAGCGCCTCCACCCTTATAGCACCCCCACCCTCAGAGCGCGTCCCCCCTCAGAGTGCCACCACCCTTATAGCACCCCCACCCTCAGAGCGTCTCCACCCTTATAGCACCCCGACCCTCAGAGTGCCTCTACCCTTATAGCACCCCCACCCTCAGAGTGTCTCTACCCTCAGAGCGCCTCTACCCTTATAGCACCCCGACCCTCAGAGTGCCTCTACCCTTATAGCACCCCCACCCTCAGAGCGTCTCCACCCTTATAGCACCCCGACCCTCAGAGTGCCTCTACCCTTATAGCACCCCCACCCTCAGAGTGCGCTCCCCCTCAGAGCGCCTCCACCCTTATAGCACCTCCACCCTCAGAGCGCCTCCACCCTTATAGCACCCCCACCCTTTGAGTGCCTCTACCCTTATAGCACCCCCACCCTCAGAGCGCCTCCACCGTTATAGCACCCCCACCCTCAGAGCGCGTCCCCTCTCAGAGTGCCACCACCCTTATAGCACCCCCACCCTCAGAGTGCCTCCACCCTCAGAGCACCTCCACCCTTATAGCACCCCAACCCTCAGAGCGCCTCCACCCTCAGAGTGCCTCCACCGTTATAGCACCCCCCACCCTCAGAGTGCCTCCACCCTCAGAGCGCCTCCACCGTTATAGCACCCCCACCCTCAGAGTGCCTCCACCCTTAAAGCACCCCCACCCTCAAAGCGCGTCCCCTCTCAGAGTGCCACCACCCTTATTGCACCCCCACCCTCAGAGTGCCTCCACCCTCAGAGCGCCTCCACCCTTATAGCACCCCCACCCTCAGAGCGCCTCCACCCTTAGAGTGCCTCCACCCTCAGAGCGCCTCCACCCTTAGAGCACCTCCACCCTCAGAGTGCCTCCACCCTCAGAGCTCCTCCACCCATACAGTGCCCCCACCCTCAGAGCGCCTCCACCCTCAGAGCGCCTCCACCCTTAAAGCACCCCCACCCTCAAAGCGCGTCCCCTCTCAGAGTGCCACCACCCTTATTGCACCCCCACCCTCAGAGTGCCTCCACCCTCAGAGCGCCCCCACCCTTATAGCACCCCCACCCTCAGAGCACCCCCACCCTCAGAGTGCCTCCACCCTCAGAGCGCCTCCACCCTTATAGCACCCCCACCCTCAGAGCACCCCCACCCTCAGAGCACCCCCACCCTCAGAGTGCCTCCACCCTCAGAGCGCCTCCACCCTTATAGCACCCCCACCCTCAGAGCGCCTCCACCCTCAGAGCGCCTCCACCCTCAGAGCTCCTCCACCCATACAGTGCCCCCATCCTCAGAGCGCCCCCACCCTTAAAGCGCCTACACTACTCCCCTCACTAAGTTACAGCCTTGCTGCAAAGGCTCTAACGTAGTGGGGGGGGGGGTGTTCTTCAGGTTCCAGAAGTTTTTAGAAGTAAAATGTGAGAAATGATCTAGAATGGATCTGATAGTAAAATCCTCCACTGAGCAGAGAATAGATTCATAGATGCTGACTGGAGCTCATGGTGTCTCCATGCAAGTAAAAAACATTTTTATTAGAATTTATCTGTGACCAAAACTCTCCATTTTATCAGAAATAGGAAAACATTAAGAATATGTTTAAAAGTTCCCTTTTCCTCCATATTTCTATCTGTTTTCTGATCAATGGGTGAGAGTTCAGGGCGATGCGCGCTCCCGCGGCAGGGGAGAAATTTCTCGGCACAACACCTGCTGCTCTTTGGACCCCAGGAAAGTTCGGACGACATGGCGGGCCGAGACAGGATCGTTCATCTGCTCAGACAGTTGGAGCGCGCAGTGTAAGTCAGCCTCGGTTCAGCAACGGTTCGGTGGGACTCAGAAGGTTCTGGAAGGCGGCGGTTCGGAATGATTCTGGATGGTTCGGAATGATTCTGGATGGTTCTGGATGGTTCGGAATGATTTTGGATGGTTCTGAATGGTTCTGGATGGTTCGGAATGATTTTGGATGGTTCTGAATGATTCTGGATGGTTCGGAATGATTTTGGATGGTTCTGAATGATTCTGGATGGTTCGGAATGATTTTGGATGGTTCTGGGGTTCATGGTTCTGTTTTTCTGGAAGGTTTGTTGGTTGTTTGCTGATTTTTAAGGTAAAGTTTTCGTTGCTGCTTTATTCGGAACCAAAGCTCCGGTCCAACAGGTCAGGAAAGGACTTGGACCGCTGCCAACCCTACGGAGGCGAGGACGTTACGGGAGCGCGCACGGTTGAACGTCAGACAGAGAGCAACCAATCAGCTGATAGAGTCGGAGATGTTCTGGTTCTGACGGGAGAACCATTAAGAACATAAAGAAATAAAAACTGGAATTAAAACAACAACAAAGTGATTAAAATAAGAAATAGTACAGGAACACATTAGAAAATAAATCAGTTATTAAAACTCAAATAATTAGAAAATACATTTTTAAGAAAAAGATGTTTAAATCTATCTGGGTGATCAAAAAATAATAAATTAATAAAAAGGTTATAAAAAGCATAGAGTCCTTCCATCACTTCCTCAGCTGCCATGTCTGCTGGTCGTTCAATTCTATTCAGTTTATTTATATAGCTCCAATTCACATCATGTCATCTCAGGTCACTTTCCAGTTCACCAGATCATCCAGTCAGATTGATTCAAAGTTTTCTATCTAAGGAAAACCATCTGATTGCATCGACTCATTGACTCTTCAGCAATCCCTCACACTAAGCATGCTTGTAGCGACAGTGGAGAGGAAAAACTCCCTTTGAACAGGAAGAAACCTCCAGCAGAACCAGGCTCAGTGTGAGCGGCCATCTGCTGAGGCCCACTGGGGTTCAAGGAGACAGAGCAGACATAGAAAAAGAAGCATAGATACAAAAGGCAACTGTCAACCAGCTCCACAGGCGGCCCCGTCCAGGAAACACACAGCCAGGCAGACGAGCTCCGAGCCAGCTCCCATGTCAGAGGATGAAGAGAGCACATCCAGTTAGTCACAGTCAGAGAAACAGGACTACACTGGAAAACAGGCCAAGCTCCAACATCTATAAACAAAGGTGTTGATGGCAGCAGCACAGCTGATATTTCTCTCCAGGATGGAGTCACAGCCAAACAGGAACAGACCAGATGAAGCTACTATGAGAAAAAGCAGAGAGAGCAGAACGTTAGAGATTGAACTAACAGATTCTGCAGAGTGGGAGAATAGAGATAGAATGAAGCAGAATGATGAAAAAGGGGTCCCTATGTCCTCCAGCAGTCTAAGCCTATAGCAGCAGAACTATAGAGATAGCTCAGGATAACCTGAGCCACTCTAACTAGAAGCTTTATCAAAAAGGAAAGTTTTAAGCCTAGCCTTAAAAGTAGACAGGGTGTCTGCCTCACGGACTAAAACTGGTAGTTGGTTCCACAGGAGAGGAGCCTGAGAACTAAAAGATCTGCCTCCCATTCTACTTTTAGAAATTCTAGGAACCACTAGTAAACCTGCAGATGGAGAGCGAAGTGCTCTGTTAGGAACATAAGGAACAGAATCAGAAATACTTCAATAATCCCAGAGGGAAATTACTTTTGTTACATGCTCTAGTTACAGTTTTACATGATATATACACACATCCAACTATACAATATAATAAAGATAAAAAATAAGAATAAAAGAGATAAAATATATACACATATAGCTCTTCTATATATATATCTGTAGGCTACGTATATCTATGTATATGTAAAACCTAAATCCAAATAGAGTGAAAAGTCCAAGTAAAGTGATACGTGGCGTGCAAAAATAGTGCATAAATGTCAATTACGGGGGGGGGGCTGAATCACTTGAGGGAGGCGTTATATAGGTTGATGACCACAGGTAGGAATGATTTCCTGTGGCGCTCTGTGGTGCATCTGGGTAGGAGGAGTCTTCTGCTGAAGGAGCTCGTCTGTTGGACCAGTGTGTCGTGGAGAGGATGTGAGTCATTGTCTAAGATAGACTGAAACCTGGACAGCATCCTCCTCTCTGCCACGGTGGTCAGGGTGTCCAGCTGCTCCTCCACAACATCACCGGCCCTCCTGATCAGTTTGTTCAGTCTGTTGTTGTCAGCAACCCTCAGCCCACTGCCCCAGCATGTGACAGCAAAGAAGAGCGTGCTAGCAACAACAGACTCATAAAACATCCTCAGCATGGTCCCACAGATGTTAAAGGACTTCAGCCTCCTCCCTCAGGAAGAATAGTCGGCTTTGGCCCTTTTTGTAGACCGCCTCAGTATTTCTAGTCCAGTCCAACTTATTGTTAAAGTACACTCCCAGGTACTTATACTCCTCCACAGTGTCAACAGGAACCCCCTGGATGGAAACAGGGGTCACAGGTGTTTTTGTCCTCCTCAGATCCACTTTGAGCTCCTTAGTCTTTGTCACATTGAGCTGCAGGTGGTTCAGCTCACTCCAAGTGACAAAGTTGCCCACCACAGTCCTGTATTCACTCTCCTCACCCTTTTCAATGCATCCAACAATTGCTGAGTCATCAGAAAACTTCTGAAGGTGGCAGGACTCAGAGCAATAGCTGAAGTCCGAGGTGAAAAGGGTGAAGAGGAAGGGGGAGAGGACAGTCCCCTGGGGGGCCCCAGTGTTGCTGACCACCCTGTCAGACACACAGTTCTGTAGGCGTACATACTGTGGTCTGCCCGTCAGGTAATCAACAATCCAGGACACGATGGGGGCCTCCACCTGCATCGCAGTCATCTTCTCACCTAGTAGAGCCGGGCGGATGGTGTTGAAGAAATCAAAGAACATGATTCTCACTGTGCTCGCCGGCTTGTCCAGGTGATTGTAGACTCTGTTCAGCAGGAAGATTATGCTGTCCTCAACTCCCAGGCGGGGCTGGTAGGCGAACTGTAGTGGATCAGTGAAGGGCCTGACCATGGGCCTTAGCTGATGCAGGACTAGCCTCTCAAAGGTCTTCATGATATGGGACACCAGTGCTACCGGTCTGTAGTCCTGTAGTCAATCAGATCTCTGATATCAGATGGAGCTTGGCCATTTAAGGCTTTATATGTGAGAAGGAGGATTTTAAATTCTATTCTGGATTTAACAGGAAGCCAATGAAGAGAAGCCAGGATAGGAGAGATATGATCTCTCTTTTTCATTTCCATCAGAACTCTGGCTGCAGCATTTTGGATCAGCTGAAGGCTTTTAACTACAGTTTGTGGACTTCCTGATAGTAAAGAATTACAATAGTCCAGCCTTGGTTTGTCAATAAAGCTTTAATGTTTGCTTCCAGAGACACTAGAGTAGCTGTTCTTATCAGAACCGGTCCAGAACCGTTCCAGAACAGGGCCATCTCTACCAGTGGGAGGTTCTGGACCTACAGCTGGGTTGGGTTGATGGGTTCTGATTCTCATGGTGTGGTGAATGTTTGGGGTTTTGGGCAGAACCAGAACCTGCAGCTACTGAGCATGCTCCGTGTTTCTACAGGTGCAGATGCCCCGCCCACTCCAACACTTTCCACCAAGGTAGGCTGATGCTCGGCCCACAGCTTCACCAGAACCAGTTCAGAAGCAGCTGGTTGCAGTGGAAGGATCATTCAGAAGGTGGGGGCCCTGGCCCTGCCACAGAATTTCAGGTTCTGATCGGGGAAAATTTTTGTGTCCGGTGTGGGGGGGGGCCGCGCCCCGGGCGGAAGACGGAACCCTTAGGTAACGCTGATGGACTCTGACTGGCCCCGCCCCCAGAACCAGGATCTGTTTCCTCTGCTTGTTTCCTCAGAGGGCCAGTTCCAAACATCGATACGGCCCCGGATCAGCAAGAAAATCGGCAGGTAGCCTTCACCCCCCATCTCTCATCAGTACTGCAGCTGAGAAAAGGTCCGGGGAACGGGTCCAGTTCGAGCGAGGGCCCCCGGCAGCAGAGGGGGGGGACCAGTGGCCCGCGGAGGCGCGTTAGAAGAAATTATTCACTTTAGTCAAGATTTCCTGGAAAAAGATTCAAATAAAAGTTATTCTAGATAAAATGTTAGAAGTGAAGATGGTCAAATTCTAGAAGCTGAAGTAAAACAAAAGGATCAAAGATCAGATCATAATCTGGACTGGATTAGTTTTAATCTGGAAAGTTTAGCATGAGCTGCAGGTCTACAGAAGAACCGCCGGGTTAGATCCTTGGAAGAGCCGGACCTCCTCTATGTGTTGTGGTTCTATGCTCTAACTAATGTGATTAAAGTTTCCCATTAAAACTGTTCTTTATGGTTTGGACCCAGACCTGCTGATGCTAGCTCCTAGCCACATGTTTGATAGCAATGTTAGCATGACGCCGTTTTAGCGTCGACTGAATACCCCCTGAAAACCCAATGGGATGATCCTTCACAATAAGGCATTCGATGTTAGGGTGACAGCCGCCCCCCGGAGTCGTTCTTAGAAAAAAACTCCTGGTCCCCCCATGTCTCCCATTAAGCCCAGTTTGCTGATCCTGGGTCTGTTTTCAGGACCTGCGGAACCTTGGAGCCAAAAACGTGTGCCTGATGACCGACCAGAACCTCGCCCGCCTCCCTCCTATGAAGGCCGTCCTCGAGTCTTTGACCGCCAACAGAATCACCTTCAAAGTCTTCGACAACATCCGAGTAGAGCCTACAGACTCCAGGTAAGACAGGGGGAGGAGCCTAACTCCAGGTTTGATGTCAGGAGCGAAGCCTAAGGTGGCCTCCAGGTGTGAAATAAGGGGGAGGAGCCTAAGGTGGCCTCCAGGTGTGACTCTATAATTTTTTTCCCCTCCAGTTTCAAGGAGGCCATCTCCTTTGCTAAGAAGGACTCGTTTGACGTGTTTGTGGCGGTGGGCGGCGGCTCGGTGATGGACACCTGTAAGGCTGCCAACCTGTATTCCTGTCATCCTGAAGCTGACTTCTTGGACTTCGTCAATGCTCCGATCGGAAAAGGCCGACCGGTGACCAAAGCTCTGAAGCCGCTGATCGCAGGTCATCTTGTCACCTTAGAGTCCTGCTGCCTCGTTCCAGGCCTGCTCATGGTTTTTGGGGTTTTTTTCCCTTTATTTCCCACAAAAAGCGGCACGGGGGCGAACCCCTGGGGGGGCCATTTTACTACGAGCCGCTGAAGGGTAAAAACCCGGGGAGAGGAGCCGCGCTTCCCTTTGAAGCTCTCTGCTCCCCCTCCCTTCACCTTCCCTATAGTGAAGAATGCATCCGCCCCCCCCACAGCCCCCACACAGAAACCCCCCCAAACCCCCCCCGCATGAATATTAATAAAAAAACGCTAAATGAGGAAGAAAATTTAAAATGAAATAATAAACTAAAAATAAACTCAACAGATCCCAAAACAAAAAAGTTAGAACCCACATCAGCAGTGCTACCCATCCTTCCTTTCCCTTCCCCTGAGGAAGGGAGGTTGTCCCGGGTTGTTACGGCCGCAGCGGAGGGAAAGGGGAGGAAGAGGGGTTTTCCGGTTTTACGGCCGCAGCGGAGGAAGGGGAGGAAGAGGGGGTTGTCCCGGGTTTTTCGGCTGCAGCGGGGGAAGGGAGGAAGAGGGGTTTTTCCGGGTTTTTACGGCCCGCACGGGGAAGAGGAGGTTGTCCCGGGTTTTTACGGGCCGAGCGGAGGAAGGTGGGGGAAAAAAGAAGGTTGTCCCGGTTTTTACGGGGCCGCGCGGAGGAAAGGTGAAAAGAGAAAGGGTTTTCCCCGGGTTTTTACGGCTGCACGGAGGAAGGGGAGGAAGAGGAGGTTGTCCCGGTTGTTCGGGCCGCGGGAGGAAAAGGGGAGGAAGAGGAGGTTGTCCCCTTGTTTCGGCCGAGCGGAGGAAGGGGAGGGAAAAGGAGGTTGTCCCGGTTTTTCGGCCGCAGCGGAGGAAGGTGAGGAAGAGGAGGTTGTCCCGGTTGTTACGGCCGCAGCGGAGGAAGGTGAGGAAGAGGAGGTTGTCCCGGTTGTTACGGCCGCAGCGGAGGAAGGTGAGGAAGAGGAGGTTGTCCCGGTTGTTACGGCCACAGCGGAGGAAGGTGAGGAAGAGGAGGTTGTCCCGGTTGTTACGGCTGCAGCGGAGGAAGGTGAGGAAGAGGAGGTTGTCCCGGTTGTTACGGCTGCAGCGGAGGAAGGTGAGGAAGAGGAGGTTGTCCCGGTTGTTACGGCCGCAGCGGAGGAAGGTGAGGAAGAGGAGGTTGTCCCGGTTGTTACGGCGGCAGCGGAGGAAGGTGAGGAAGAGGAGGTTGTCCCGGTTGTTACGGCCGCAGCGGAGGAAGAGGAGGTTGTCCCGGTTGTTACGGCCGCAGCGGAGGAAGGTGAGGAAGAGGAGGTTGTCCCGGTTTTTACGGCCGCAGCGGAGGAAGGTGAGGAAGAGGAGGTTGTCCCGGTTGTTACGGCCGCAGCAGAGGAAGAGGAGGTTGTCCCGGTTGTTACAGCCGCAGCAGAGGAAGGTGAGGAAGAGGAGGTTGTCCCGGTTGTTACGGCCGCAGCGGAGGAAGGTGAGGAAGAGGAGGTTGTCCCGGTTTTTACGGCCGCAGCGGAGGAAGGTGAGGAAGAGGAAGTTGTCCCGGTTGTTACGGCCGCAGCAGAGGAAGGTGAGGAAGAGGAGGTTGTCCCAGTTGTTACGGCCGCAGCAGAGGAAGGTGAGGAAGAGGAGGTTGTCCCGGTTGTTACGGCCGCAGCGGAGGAAGGTGAGGAAGAGGAGGTTGTCCCGGTTGTTACGGCCGCAGCAGAGGAAGGTGAGGAAGAGGAGGTTGTCCCGGTTGTTACGGCTGCAGCAGAGGAAAGGGGAGGAAGAGGAGGTGGTCCCGGTTGTTACGGCCGCAGCGGAGGAAGGTGAGGAAGAGGAGGTTGTCCCGGTTTTTACGGCCGCAGCGGAGGAAGGTGAGGAAGAGGAAGTTGTCCCGGTTGTTACGGCCGCAGCAGAGGAAGGTGAGGAAGAGGAGGTTGTCCCAGTTGTTACGGCCGCAGCAGAGGAAGGTGAGGAAGAGGAGGTTGTCCCGGTTGTTACGGCCGCAGCGGAGGAAGGTGAGGAAGAGGAGGTTGTCCCGGTTGTTACGGCCGCAGCAGAGGAAGGTGAGGAAGAGGAGGTTGTCCCGGTTGTTACGGCTGCAGCAGAGGAAGGGGAGGAAGAGGAGGTGGTCCCGGTTGTTACGGCCGCAGCGGAGGAAGGTGAGGAAGAGGAGGTTGTCCCGGTTGTTACGGCCGCAGCAGAGGAAGGGGAGGAAGAGGAGGTTGTCCCGGTTGTTACGGCCGCAGCGGAGGAAGGGGAGGAAGAGGAGGTTGTCCCGGTTGTTACGGCCGCAGCGGAGGAAGGTGAGGAAGAGGAGGTTGTCCCGGTTGTTACGGCCTCAGCGGAGGAAGGTGAGGAAGAGGAGGTTGTCCCGGTTGTTACGGCCGCAGCGGAGGAAGGTGAGGAAGAGGAGGTTGTCCCGGTTGTTACGGCCGCAGCGGAGGAAGGTGAGGAAGAGGAGGTTGTCCCGGTTGTTACGGCCGCAGCAGAGGAAGGTGAGGAAGAGGAGGTTGTCCCGGTTGTTACGGCCGCAGCGGAGGAAGGTGAGGAAGAGGAGGTTGTCCCGGTTGTTACGGCCGCAGCGGAGGAAGGTGAGGAAGAGGAGGTTGTCCCGGTTGTTACGGCCGTAGCGGAGGAAGGTGAGGAAGAGGAGGTTGTCCCGGTTGTTACGGCTGCAGCGGAGGAAGGTGAGGAAGAGGAGGTTGTCCCGGTTGTTACGGCCGCAGGGGAGGAAGGTGAGGAAGAGGAGGTTGTCCCGGTTGTTACGGCCGCAGCAGAGGAAGGTGAGGAAGAGGAAGTTGTCCCGGTTGTTACGGCCGCAGCGGAGGAAGGTGAGGAAGAGGAGGTTGTCCCGGTTTTTACGGCCGCAGCGGAGGAAGGTGAGGAAGAGGAGGTTGTCCCGGTTGTTACGGCCGCAGCAGAGGAAGAGGAGGTTGTCCCGGTTGTTACAGCCGCAGCAGAGGAAGGTGAGGAAGAGGAGGTTGTCCCGGTTGTTACGGCCGCAGCAGAGGAAGGTGAGAAAGAGGAGGTTGTCCCGGTTGTTACGGCCGCAGCAGAGGAAGAGGAGGTTGTCCCGGTTGTTACAGCCGCAGCAGAGGAAGGTGAGGAAGAGGAGGTTGTCCCGGTTGTTACAGCCGCAGCAGAGGAAGGTGAGAAAGAGGAGGTTGTCCCGGTTGTTACGGCCGCAGCGGAGGAAGGTGAGGAAGAGGAGGTTGTCCCGGTTGTTACGGCCGCAGCGGAGGAAGGTGAGGAAGAGGAGGTTGTCCCGGTTGTTACGGCCGCAGCGGAGGAAGGTGAGAAAGAGGAGGTTGTCCCGGTTGTTACGGCCGCAGCGGAGGAAGGTGAGGAAGAGGAGGTTGTCCCGGTTGTTACGGCCTGCAGCGGAGGAAGGTGAGGAAGAGGAGGTTGTCCCGGTTGTTACGGCCGCAGCGGAGGAAGGTGAGGAAGAGGAGGTTGTCCCGGTTGTTACGGCTGCAGCAGAGGAAGGTGAGGAAGAGGAGGTTGTCCCGGTTGTTACGGCTGCAGCGGAGGAAGGTGAGGAAGAGGAGGTTGTCCCGGTTGTTACGGCCACAGCGGAGGAAGGTGAGGAAGAGGAGGATGTCCCGGTTGTTACGGCCGCAGCGGAGGAAGGTGAGGAAGAGAAGGTTGTCCCGGTTGTTACGGCTGCAGCAGAGGAAGGTGAGGAAGAGGAGGTTGTCCCGGTTGTTACGGCTGCAGCAGAGGAAGGTGAGGAAGAGGAGGTTGTCCTGGTTGTTACAGCCGCAGCAGAGGAAGGTGAGGAAGAGGCGGTTGTCCTGGTTTTTAGGGCCGCAGCAGAGGAAGGTCGAGGAAGAGGAGGTTGTCCCGGTTGTTAGGGCCGCAGCAGAGGAAGGTGAGGAAGAGGAGGTTGTCCCGGTTGTTACGGCCGCAGCGGAGGAAGGTGAGGAAGAGGAGGTTGTCCCGGTTGTTACGGCCGCAGCAGAGGAAGGTGAGGAAGAGGAGGTTGTCCCGGTTGTTACGGCCACAGCGGAGGAAGGTGAGGAAGAGGAGGATGTCCCGGTTGTTACGGCCGCAGCGGAGGAAGGTGAGGAAGAGGAGGTTGTCCCGGTTGTTACGGCCGCAGCGGAGGAAGGTGAGGAAGAGGAGGTTGTCCCGGTTGTTACGGCCGCAGCAGAGGAAGGTGAGGAAGAGGAGGTTGTCCCGGTTGTTACGGCCACAGCAGAGGAAGAGGAGTCAGCTACTAGTCTGGAGGATGCAGGTCTAAGAATGTCGGCTGCTGCTGACCCAAATGGACCACATGAACCAGAACCGTCTGTGGAGGCTCTTTAGCCGGACTGAGACCAAGGATGCTGTGATGTCACACTGAGATTCTATTGGCTGTTTCTGTCCAGGTATTGCTAGCAGAGCCATCAGACCCACGCTGGGCATCGTGGACCCCCTGCACACCCTGAGCATGCCTGAACGGGTCGCCGCCAACAGCGGCTTCGACGTGTTGTGGTGCGTCTGACAAGTTTCTTTACTGGTCGCTGCTGTTGTCAGGCGCTGACAGGCCCCCCTTCCTCTGCTTCTAATAGTCACGCCCTGGAGTCCTACACCGCCTTACCCTACCACCAGAGGGCGCCCTGTCCCACCGACCCCATCCTCCGTCCCGCTTACCAGGGCAGCAACCCCATCAGTGACGTGTGGTCGCGCCATGCCCTGAACGTGGTGGCCAAGTTCATGAAGAGGTACGTTCACCAGCTTCCTAAAGAGCAGGTAACGCTAGCAGAGCGATACGCCCGACATAGCCCAGTAAACTAGCCCCACCCACCAGCCTGCAGTGGTCTAGCCTTGATCAATGCCCGAGGCCCTAGAACTGGCCGGCCAATCACAACGCAGAGATGTGGTTTGAATTTCTGGATGCAAAGTGGGTGGGGTTTTGAGGGCATGACGTCAAAGCTGTGCAACGCTGGAGAAAACACAACAAGGAAGATGGCAACAACTATTGAACAGTTCTGGTTTGACTCAGCTTTGGAATCAGTTTTGGGGTTTTCGTTGAAACCTGAGCAGGAAGATGGCCTGATAATCCAGACTAAATGTGAGATTAAATGTGTAATTTAGTCTGGCCCCGATTAATGAAGGGTCGGAAGATTGTTGATGAGAACAACCCGTTGTTTATCAAACCATGACTGTGCCTATTGGCCAACGCTCCGACCAAAGAGAGCCACTGACTATGATGTTGAAGCGTGACAGAAAGCTGGTGGGGGAGTGGAAACAAACAGCCTGTCGGTAAAACAGCGAATATGTCCTCAAAAATGAATGAGCGTAGAGAAGGACATATTCACCGGAAGGTAGGAAGAGAAAACAAACATGACAGCCGTGAAAGGAGCAGGAGGAAGATCCGCAGTAGTGATCATCTCTGAACGGTCAGTTAAATGAGTTCACTATAAAGTGCACTCTATAGTGATGGAGGGGTCAGAGGTCGGGGCGTGCGGTCAGACCCAAAGACAAACCAAAGAGCGTTAGGGGTCAGAACCATCATTAGGGGTCAGAACCGGCATTAGGGGTCAGAACCGGCATTAGGGGTCAGATCCAGTCCAAGGCCCTGCCTGAGTCGGGAACCTGAAGATGTTTTTTCTGTTCTGAGGGCTGTGCGGGACCCGGAGGACCTTGAGGCCCGGTCCAGCATGCACCTGGCTAGCGTGTTTGCAGGGATCGGCTTTGGGAACGCCGGAGTCCATCTGTGGTGAGTTCCTGGGTCGGTTCGGGGTTTTACAGCCAGAGGCTGGTTCTGAAAGACAAACCGTCTGTTTCTCTCTTCAGTCATGGGATGTCGTACCCGATCGCTGGAAACGTGAAAAGCCACGCAGCGAGGGGCTACAGCGTGGAGCACCCCCTGGTGGTGAGACATGAAACGGACACAGAACCCGGACGCTCTCAGCGGGTCTTTGGGTAAATCAGGTGAACTTTGTGCCCCTGCAGCCCCACGGCCTTTCCGTGGTCCTGACCTCGCCGGCCGTCTTCAGCTTCACTGCACCAATGTGCCCGGAGCGCCACCTGGAGGCTGCAGAGATCCTGGGTAGGTTAGCCGCCGCGGCGCAGTGCGTTCGCTAGCCTCCAGGTGAACTCGGCCTGTCGTGGATCTTTCAGGTGCAGACGTGCGGCGGGTGAAGCGTGAGGATGCCGGGGAGGTTCTGGCCGACACGCTGCGGCAGTTCCTGTCCGACCTGCAGGTGGAGGACGGACTGATGGCCGTGGGCTACAGCCGAGACGACATCCCGGCTCTGGTGAAGGGAACCCTCCCTCAGGTGAGCTCCTGGCTGCAGCGTCTGGACTCCATGATCCCCCGATGACCTGCTTTCTTCTTCTCCTCTTCAGGAGCGGGTCACCAAGCTGTCTCCGCGGGCGCACACCGAGGAGGACCTGAGCCAGCTGTTTGAATCCTCCCTGAAGCTCTACTGACTACAGCCACCAGGGGGAGCTGCTGTCAGGGTGAACCTGATGGCGACGGTTCCTCTGATCTGAGATCAGAGCTTCAGAAGGAAAGATTCTGGCTCTGATGCTTCAGGCCTTTCAGTGATTCTCATATTTAATCGGTAGATTTAGTTGTTGATTAACCAACATTTCAAGCTTTGCTGGATCATCTCTGGGTGTGATGGGGGGGGAGGCGAGGAGCAGTAAATGAAATCAAATGGGAGAGAAATTAGAGGGTTCAGACTGAGATGGACCAGATGGGCAGCAGGTTCTGATGGACCGCAGCCTCCTGCTGCCGCCATTTTAGCGTCCTACCAGAGGGGCGCTCTAAATTTCTTAGCTTTTAATTTCTGCTCTGATTATCAGCTTTGCCACATAAATGACTCTAGATTCTTGATGTTTGATCATCTAAACGTTTGCTAATAAAGTTTTGTTAAACATTCAAAATAAAAGGATTTCACTGAACTTCATTACATTTCTGTCTGTTTCTCACTATGTGTACTTGTGCGTTCTCGTGTCCTGGTGAAACGTCATCATCCTCAGCCCTAGTACTGTTCCAGTTCACTAGAACAGCAGACTGAGAATGGACAAAGTCTCCGGATGTTCCTGCCCCTCCCTATTTACCCAGCATGCATTGGAGCAGACAAATAATGTCATTATGGTTCTAAAATTACTTATTTCTATCCTCGACCCACTGAAGAATGCTAAAACACACCTTTTAAAAAAATGTTTTTACTTTCTGAGACAATTTTGATGCTTTTCTCATTTTCTCCTTTAAAGCTACAGTGTGTAATAATTACAGGGATATACAGTCAGAAATTTAATATATTATACATAACTATGTTATTTATCATCATCTACGAGCTCAGCCTCTTAACCTTCATATTTGCGTTGCCTTAGAATTCGTTATTTATAATTACATAGGAGCGGGTCTCACAGCCATGGAGGCAGACATCTTAGCGCTACGGCAGCGCAGAGCCAACAAAGTAGCGATTGCGAGATCGCCCATTACAATAACATGCTGCGTGATGATGCTGTTACTCTCCAGTATACTTATTCAGCAACGTCCCTGACGTTTCAAAGGTAATGATTCAGTAATTTTCTGTAAAATAATTTTCTGGATATATACCTCGGTTACTTCTCTACGGCTCCTTTGGAGATCTTCAAGCCTTTCCTCCTCTGCTCTAGTCACCCCGCTGGCACCTCTCCCTCGCCTGGCCCTAGCTGCACGCCCACCCCGGCCTCTCTGCCCTCTTCCTCTCCCTCTTCCTCTCCCTGTAACCCCCGTGCCACCAAAATGACTTGGACTCTGTAAACGGGGAATATATATTCTTCCAGCGAACACAATCTCGCTGTTACTCTAATGACTACAATTACTTCGTCTGTTTATATCACCGTGCAAAGCAGCTCACCAAAACATCACAACGATGTAGAAAAAATAACGGGTATATTTATTATCTTAAGTCTACATGAAATCTATACCCTACACAGACTAATGAAATACTATCTGTAAAATTATCTATGTAAACAAACCTCATCACTTGAGAAGGTAGGTGATGCGGACGTCGTGGAAGACATTTTGTCCCGTAACGCTCGCCGTACTGTTGGGGGGGAGAAGCGGTGGGGGGGAGATGTTCATGTTGCTGCGGTCTGCAGTCTGACCGTTAGATGTCGCTAAAAATTACACACTGTAGCTTTAAACTGCTTCTCTGACATCGTCATGGGACGTACTTAGAGCAATCCCGCTAAATCTGATTAAACCATGTTTGTCTGCATTTTACTTGTTTATTTCTTTACATTGTGCACTATATAGCATAATATTAACACGAAAAGAAAACATTAAACTCAAAAAGACTAGATTTATGTTTAAATTTAAAGCCGAAAAAGTTAGCTCCACGAAGTAGCGTAGGATCCCATTTCCGGTGCAGATCGGAAACAGAGATAAAACAGGATTTTAACCTGGTCACAGGTGTGTCATGAAGAAGACACACCTGTTAGTCCGTCTGGCTGCTGCAGACGGACTAACCGTCGCCCTGGCTGCTGCAGACGGACTAACCGTTGCCCTGCCTGCTGCAGACGGACTAACCGTTGCCCTGGCTGCTGCAGAAGGACTAACCGTTGCCCTGGCTGCTGCAGACAGACTAACCGTTGCCCTGCCTGCTGCAGACGGACTAACCGTTGCCCTGGCTGCTGCAGACGGACTAACCGTTGCCCTGGCTGCTGCAGACAGACTAACCGTTGCCCTGCCTGCTGCAGACGGACTAACCGTTGCCCTGGCTGCTGCAGACGGACTAACCGTTGCCCTGGCTGCTGCGGACGGACTAACCGTTGCCCTGGCTGCTGCAGACGGACTAACCGTTGCCCTGGCTGCTGCAGACGGACTAACCGTTGCCATGGCTGCTGCAGACGGACTAACCGATGCCCTGGCTGCTGCAGACGGACTAACCGATGCCCTGGCTGCTGCAGACGGACTAACCGATGCCCTGGCTGCTGCAGACGGACTAACCGTTGCCCTGGCTGCTGCAGACGGACTAACCGATGCCCTGGCTGCTGCAGACGGAGTAACCGTTGCCCTGGCTGCTGCAGACGGACTAACCGATGCCCTGGCTGCTGCAGACGGACTAACCGATGCCCTGGCTGCTGCAGACGGACTAACCGATGCCCTGGCTGCTGCAGACGGACTAACCGTTGCCCTGGCTGCTGCAGACAGACTAACCGTTGCCCTGGCTGCTGCAGACGGGCTAACCGTCGCCCTGGCTGCTGCAGAAGGACTAACCGTTGCCCTGGCTGCTGCAGACGGGCTAACCGTTGCCCTGGCTGCTGCAGAAGGACTAACCGTTGCCCTGGCTGCTGCAGATGGACTAACCGTTGCCCTGGCTGCTGCAGACGGACTAACCGTTGCCCTGGCTGCTGCAGACGGACTAACCGTTGCCCTGGCTGCTGCTGACGGACTAACCGTTGCCCTGGCTGCTGCAGACGGACTAACCGTTGCCCTGGCTGCTGCAGAAGGGACAACCGTTGCCCTGGCTGCTGCTGACGGACTAACCGTTGCCCTGGCTGCTGCTGACGGACTAACCGTTGCCCTGGCTGCTGCAGACGGACTAACCGTTGCCCTGGCTGCTGCAGACGGACTAACCGTTGCCCTGGCTGCTGCAGACGGGATTTAAATGACATAGGAACAATAAAGGATTCTTTCTATGGTGGATGTGTTTCTGTTGGGAAGAGCTAAAATCAAATCCCTCCATCAGAGCGCTACATGTTTGTTCTTGTTTTCCTGCTTCAACTAAACTAGCAGCAGTAGTGGAGTTTAGAGATTCAATCCTTTTCATAAATCTATCTTTGCTCTCCTCTAATTAATCCAGAAGTTCTGCATCACACTTTCTGTCCCTCCCAGCTTGGTTGTGGGCTGCAGATTTAGACTTCCCTGGAAATGCCTTTCCAAATTATTATTTTTATTAACTGACAAATTCTCATTCCAAAGCAAACATGCGGGCAATCCTTCCTCATTGACAATGAAAGCAAATTATTTGCTCCATTCTTCTCTGAATCCTCTGTTCTCATCATATCTTCCTTTTTTCCCTTTGGGATCCATGGCCTGAGACACGGCGCTGCTTTCTTTGCCTGACACCGCGGCACGCTGAGACGTGTTGAAGGCTCTGACCACTGACCTCTATGGCTGTGACGCACATTTTCCTTGAAATAAATGTTTACATATATTGTTTAAATTTGTTTATTCAGTTATTTCTGTTCCAGGATCCACTTCCTGTCTGGCATCAATATTAAAACTGGACTTGATAGCCTATTGGACCGGTACCTGGACATACAGAGAGAAGAGCAGCGGGTAGAACACTGCCAAGGGACTCGGTCCCGATGGTTCCAGACCAGTTACTGCTACCCTCCTGTAGGGGGAGCTATAGCGTCAGCAGCAGGGCCGGTAGCTGAAGTCCTCCATCCAGGTGGAGGTCTTTGGTCCAGCAGGTTCTAGATGAACTGCAGTGGGTTTGGATCAGAAGGGTTAGGTCATGAATAAAGTCAGATGTTCTGCAGCAGCTGGAAGTTTACAGACGTAAAGAAGCAACCATCAGATACCACAGCTTCAATAAACAGGTTATTAAGTCCTAATAAAAAGTAATTAATGTCAATAAGCCCTCTGCTGGTTCTGAGGCCCTCTGGACCAGTGACAGGTTGTTTTTGGCCCGGTCCCTGGCAGAGCGGGGTGTTCTAGGAATGTTTAATCCATGCTAATCTCATCCAGGAACAGATCCAGGTTATATAAACCTGGTCTTAGTGACCCTGAACGCAGCACAGAGCTCATCTGATTCTGCTGGGATGGAGCGCTGGAAGCGGACCAGAACCAACACACTGAACACCCCGACCCGGTTCTGCTGGGAGTCCAACACAGAACCTGCAGAGGTTCAAACGAGGCCAAGTGGGGTCCAGGTTACTGTCAGAAAGAAGCTGATTAGTCAGTCATTTCATTTGGATGGGATTAAACTGATTTCAGATAATAAAGTAAAAAATCTTGGTGTTATTTTTGATCAGGACCTGTCATTTAAATCCCAGATCAAAGAGGTTTCTAGAATTTCCTTCTTTCATCTGAGGAATATTGCAAAAATGCATTTGTTACTTCAAGGCTGGACTATTGTAATTCTTTACTATCAGGAAGTCCAATCTGCTCTCAATCTGCAGGTTTACTAGTGGTTCCTAGAATTTCTAAAAGTAGAATGGGAGGCAGATCTTTTAGTTCTCAGGCTCCTCTCCTGTGGAACCAACTACCAGTTTTAGTCCGTGAGGCAGACACCCTGTCTACTTTTAAGGCTAGGCTTAAAACTTTCCTTTTTGATAAAGCTTCTAGTTAGAGTGGCTCAGGTTATCCTGATCTATCTCTATAGTTCTGCTGCTATAGGCTTAGACTGCTGGAGGACATAGGGACCCCTTTTTCATCATGCTTTTCAGTATCTCTGACATGAAAACTGTCTCAGAGCTCGTCTGCTGATCTTCAGGTCCAGCTGACCCATGGGACCTTTAGTGTGTGTGTGTGTGTGTGTGTGTGTGTGTGTGTGTGTGTGTGTGTGTGTGTGTGTGTGTGTGTGTGTGAGGGATTACCAGTGCAGGTATTTAAAGGCTCCCTCAGAGAGAGGCAGCTCACACCATGCAGCAGATCTACAGCCACCGAGACGAGCAGCTCCAGGTCTTCACCACCATCTTCTCCCCGCAGGGTAAGGACACACCTGCTCATATCACCATACACTCTGAGAACCTTCCTTCCAGTTGTAATCCATCCTGTGGCCCGATCCAAACCATCGCCGGTACAACCGGTTCCTCAACTAAAACCTGATCCAAACTATTCCTGAACCTCTAACCTAAAGCATAGAGGACCAGGAAAGGTCCTCACTTTGCCAGTAATAATGGTAACACACACACAGCCCAGGTCTGGTTCTGGTGTTGGTTCTGTTTGTGAGTCGTGGCTGCAGATCTGGAAACCAGGTCTTCACCTAGTGGCTTGGCCTCTGCATAGGACCAGTTCTGGTTCTGATCTTTCAAACACTTAGTTAAACTGACCCAGAATGTTTCTTGAACAGAAGCGATTGAGAACCCCCCATTCTGCTGTGGAGGTTAGAATCGACCCAGTTAGCGTTGTCCCAACAGAACCTTGAATGGACCCAGATGGAGAACAGGCCAGTCTTCTTCTTCTCTAAAAATATTTCAATCAGAGATTAATAGAGAAAATATCTCTGGGACCCTGAAGCTCCACCAGGGAGGTATGTTCTCTATCCAGAAGATTCTCCGTCTCCCAGCATCTTCTCAGCACCATGGAGGACATTCAGGCTGGACCGGGTTATCTGGGGCTGTTGACCTGCCATCAGAACGGAGCAGCATGGGTTCTAGCAGAACCTTACAGAGTGACCTTTAGAGGGCCACTAGTGGGAAGGTCTTAAACCAAACCATTAGAGTCAAACACTCCCTACTAGACCCAGGCTGGCTGGGGCCAGGGACCTGCACCGGATCAAAGATGGATCAACACCAACAGAGGACCCTTGTTGAGATTAGCTCCTTATAGAGACTAGTTTCTCATGCCAGCTGAGTGTTCTTCTCTTTTTGTTGATTAGCTTGGTTTATCTTACAGTTTTGGTTTTCATCTTTAGTAAAACAAAACATATAAAGCAGATCCAAAATAAAGCAGATCTTCAAACAGTCCTGGTTTCTGGTTTACCTGGACAGCAATGCGTCCTCCCAGCGCTACATAAACAGCTAACAGTTCACCTGTGAGCATTGATTGGCTAATTGATGATACTGATTACAACCTGTTTGTCCTTCAGTTTGCAGGACAAGAGCGAGACATGTGGCGGCAGAGAAGGTTAACACCTAACACCTGAAGGCATACATAACCTGGACACCTGTGATCATGTGGACACACCTGTCCTCATTTGGACACACCTGTCATCTCCAGGATCCACCTGTCCTTTCCTTGACATACCTGTCCTGATTTGGACACACCTGTCCTCTCCTGCACACACCTGTCTTTTCCTAGACACACCTGCACTCATTTGGACTCACCTGTCTTCTCCTTGACACACCTGTGACCATTTGGACACACCTGTCCATTCCTGGACTCACCTGTCCTCTCTTGGACTCACCTGTCCTCTCTTGGACACACCTGTCCTCTCTTGGACTCACCTTTCCTCTCTTGGACACACCTGTCCTCTCTTGGACTCACCTGTCCTCTCTTGGACACACCTGTCCTCTCTTGGACACACCTGTCCTCTCTTGGACACACCTGTCCTCTCTTGGACACACCTGTCCTCTCTTGGACTCACCTTTCCTCTCTTGGACTCACCTGTCCTCTCTTGGACTCACCTGTCCTCTCTTGGACACATCTTTCCTCTCTTGGACACACCTTTCCTCTCTTGGACACACCTGTCCTCTCTTGGACTCATCTTTCCTCTCTTGGACTCACCTGTCCTCTCTTGGACTCACCTGTCCTCTCTTGGACACATCTTTCCTCTCTTGGACACACCTGTCCTCTCTTGGACTCACCTGTCCTCTCTTGGACACATCTTTCCTCTCTTGGACTCACCTGTCCTCTCTTGGACACATCTTTCCTCTCTTGGACACACCTTTCCTCTCTTGGACACACCTTTCCTCTCTTGGACACACCTGTCCTCTCTTGGACTCATCTGTCCTCTCTTGGACTCACCTTTCCTCTCTTGGACACACCTTTCCTCTCTTGGACTCACCTTTCCTCTCTTGGACTCATCTGTCCTCTCTTGGACTCACCTTTCCTCTCTTGGACTCAACTTTCCTCTCTTGGACTCATCTGTCCTCTCTTGGACTCACCTTTCCTCTCTTGGACTCAACTTTCCTCTCTTGGACTCACCTTTCCTCTCTTGGACACACCTTTCCTCTCTTGGACTCACCTTTCCTCTCTTGGACACACCTTTCCTCTCTTGGACACACCTTTCCTCTCTTGGACTCACCTTTCCTCTCTTGGACTCACCTGTCCTCTCTTGGACTCACCTTTCCTCTCTTGGATACAACTGTCCTCTCTTGGACTCACCTGTCCTCTCTTGGACTCATCTTTCCTCTCTTGGACTCACCTTTCCTCTCTTGGACACAACTGTCCTCTCTTGGACTCACCTTTCCTCTCTTGGATACAACTGTCCTCTCTTGGACTCACCTGTCCTCTCTTGGACTCATCTTTCCTCTCTTGGACACACCTTTCCTCTCTTGGACTCACCTTTCCTCTCTTGGACACACCTGTCCTCTCTTGGACTCATCTTTCCTCTCTTGGACACACCTTTCCTCTCTTGGACTCACCTTTCCTCTCTTGGACTCATCTTTCCTCTCTTGGACACACCTTTCCTCTCTTGGACTCATCTTTCCTCTCTTGGACTCACCTGTCCTCTCTTGGACTCACCTGTCCTCTCTTGGACACATCTGTCCTCTCTTGGACACACCTGTCCTCTCTTGGACACACCTTTCCTCTCTTGGACACACCTGTCCTCTCTTGGACTCATCTTTCCTCTCTTGGACTCACCTGTCCTCTCTTGGACTCACCTGTCCTCTCTTGGACACATCTTTCCTCTCTTGGACACACCTTTCCTCTCTTGGACACACCTGTCCTCTCTTGGACTCATCTTTCCTCTCTTGGACTCACCTGTCCTCTCTTGGACTCACCTGTCCTCTCTTGGACACATCTTTCCTCTCTTGGACACACCTGTCCTCTCTTGGACTCACCTGTCCTCTCTTGGACACATCTTTCCTCTCTTGGACTCACCTGTCCTCTCTTGGACACATCTTTCCTCTCTTGGACACACCTTTCCTCTCTTGGACACACCTTTCCTCTCTTGGACACACCTGTCCTCTCTTGGACTCATCTGTCCTCTCTTGGACTCACCTTTCCTCTCTTGGACACACCTTTCCTCTCTTGGACTCACCTTTCCTCTCTTGGACTCATCTGTCCTCTCTTGGACTCACCTTTCCTCTCTTGGACTCAACTTTCCTCTCTTGGACTCATCTGTCCTCTCTTGGACTCACCTTTCCTCTCTTGGACTCAACTTTCCTCTCTTGGACTCACCTTTCCTCTCTTGGACACACCTTTCCTCTCTTGGACTCACCTTTCCTCTCTTGGACACACCTTTCCTCTCTTGGACACACCTTTCCTCTCTTGGACTCACCTTTCCTCTCTTGGACTCACCTGTCCTCTCTTGGACTCACCTTTCCTCTCTTGGATACAACTGTCCTCTCTTGGACTCACCTGTCCTCTCTTGGACTCATCTTTCCTCTCTTGGACTCACCTTTCCTCTCTTGGACACAACTGTCCTCTCTTGGACTCACCTTTCCTCTCTTGGATACAACTGTCCTCTCTTGGACTCACCTGTCCTCTCTTGGACTCATCTTTCCTCTCTTGGACACACCTTTCCTCTCTTGGACTCACCTTTCCTCTCTTGGACACACCTGTCCTCTCTTGGACTCATCTTTCCTCTCTTGGACACACCTTTCCTCTCTTGGACTCACCTTTCCTCTCTTGGACTCATCTTTCCTCTCTTGGACACACCTTTCCTCTCTTGGACTCATCTTTCCTCTCTTGGACTCACCTTTCCTCTCTTGGACACACCTTTCCTCTCTTGGATACACCTTTCCTCTCTTGGACACACCTTTCCTCTCTTGGACTCACCTTTCCTCTCTTGGACACATCTTTCCTCTCTTGGACACACCTTTCCTCTCTTGGACACACCTTTCCTCTCTTGGACTCACCTTTCCTCTCTTGGACTCATCTTTCCTCTCTTGGACACACCTTTCCTCTCTTGGACTCACCTTTCCTCTCTTGGACTCATCTTTCCTCTCTTGGACACACCTTTCCTCTCTTGGACTCACCTTTCCTCTCTTGGACTCATCTTTCCTCTCTTGGACACACCTTTCCTCTCTTGGACTCACCTTTCCTCTCTTGGACACACCTGTGCTCTCTTGGACTTACCTTTCCTCTCCTGGACACACCTGTCCTCTCTTGGACTCATCTTTCCTCTCTTGGACTCATCTTTCCTCTCTTGGACACACCTTTCCTCTCTTGGACTCACCTTTCCTCTCTTGGACACACCTGTCCTCTCTTGGACTCATCTTTCCTCTCTTGGACTCACCTTTTCTCTCTTGGACACACCTGTCCTCTCTTGGACTCACCTTTCCTCTCTTGGACACACCTGTCCTCTCTTGGACTCACCTGTCCTCTCTTGGACACACCTGTCCTCTCCATTCTTGCTGACCTACAATGTTGTCCCTAAACTGCACTGTCATGGTGGACGTGTCCTGGACTTCCTGCGGCACTTGCTGGTTTTCATTGAACAGGGTCAGAGCAGGTGATTTCAACTGATTGAGGATCAGGTTACTGGTTTTAAAAGCACTCGTTAAGAAATTCCCACCATCCAGAACCGTTCCAGAACCACCATAAAGGTCGGGATCTATGAGAACAAACATTTGGCCCCTCAGGCCAACTCCATGCCGAGAACTGAAGCCAGAAGCAGTCCTCTATCCTGATCCTGCAGTGTTACTGGTTCTGTTCTGGGGAACCAGAACTAGATCCAGAACTCATCCCGCTGCCTCTGATAGAACCATGCAGACTGCTTCAGACCCGGTTCTAGTGACTGTGTGGAACCAGGTCTGTGATGTAGGACAGACAAACAAAGACAGACCTGTTTCAGCAGAAACCAGGATTACATCCAAGTGACCTCTGACCTCAGTGTTTCCAGCAGGCTGATCAGATTAACGCACACGGGGGTGGGGGGGGTGATGGGGGGGGGGGGGGCGATGTCATCACATCAAGTGTTGTGTCAAGTGTAGTGAAACCAATCCTTCTGCTCCAGCAGGTAGTTGTGGTGACTAAGCAGAACCGGTCTCGCTGGGCCAAGGAGCTGGACCTGGAACCGGGGGATGTGATCCAGGTTCTGTTTAAGGAGGACGAGTCCTGGTGGTTTGGGCGGCAGGCAGATGGACAGGAGGGTTACTTCCCATCAGCCTGTGTAGAGTTACTGCAGGTACAAAAACACCTGGATAACACTTGACCATTACCTGGATAACACCTGATTATTACCTGGATAACACCTGATTATTACCTGGATAACACCTGACTATTACCTGGTGAATACCTTACAATAACCTAGATAACACCTGACTATTACCTGAATAACACCTGATTATTACCTGGATAACACCTGATTATTACCTGGATAACACCTGACTATTACCTGGTGAATACCTTACAATAACCAGATAACACCTGACTATTACCTGAATAACACCTGATTATTACCTGGATAATACCTTACAATTACCTGGATAACACCTGACTATTACCTGGATAACACCTGATTATTACCTGGATAACACCTAAACATTACCTGGTTAATACCTTACAATTACCTGGATAACACCTGACTATTACCTGGTTAATACCTTACAATTATCTGGATAACACCTGACCATTACCTGGTTAATACCTGATCATTACCTGGTTAATACCTGATCATTACCTGGTTAATACCTTACGATAACCTGGATAATACCTGACCATTACATGGTTAATACCTGATCATTACCTGGTTAACATCTGACTATAACCTTGTTACTACCAGGTAATTACTGGTTACTACGTGATTATTTCCTGTTTACCACCTGATTATTGCTTGGTTACCACCTGGTTACATTTATTAAGTGATTATTTCCTAGTTATATACTCTCTATCACCTCACTATATCCTGGTTATCATCATCTTGTTAAGTATGGTTTCCCCCCTAATTTATCCTGTTATCATTTGCTAGCAAGACGCGGGTTTAACAGTTAGTTATAGAGGCCTGTTTATCACCCTCATTATATCCCTGTACACCAATTATGCGGTCATCATTATCATCGAGTTATATCCTGGTTAGTTCACTGTAGAGAGAGAGCGTGAGATAAGCCCTAATCTATATCACCTGTTAGTCCCCTCGATTGTTGCCTCTGCACCCATATAACCCGAAAGAACACCAAGTCACTGCGTTTGGCTGCTCAGAAGGATAACCAGCCAACTGCTTGGGTTGGTTACTCAGAAACACTAAAGCTCTTGAGCACTCGCGCGTCGTGAATGACCTTAGTGGACTATATCTCTGGCAGAAACTTGATTAGGAACTTCAAATATCACTACATCTAAGATGAGCGAGAGCGATGCGTATATACTTGACTCCAAAGGAAAGCAAAATGGCCATGTAAAATTAAAGGTTTAATCCTCCTCAAAGCCTCCATGATTACCAAACACCAAGGAGCTCTGTGCTGCTCATGGAGCTGTGGTGTTACTGGATGAGGTCCGATGTTCCTCCACCTGGATCCTCAGATTTCTCAGGTCCATCATCTTGATGTTCCTCCCAGGGCCATCCATGATGGCTCATGGTGCACAGTTGGTCTTCCATAAAGAAGATCTGTTCATCACCAGAGTCTCCAAGCAGATAGAGGCCATCAGAATCAGTGGAATTATCTCAACCAGTACTAGATGTTTTACCGTCCTTCTGAGGTCTTAAAACTGAACAATGATGGTGATGAATGAGCTATGAACAAGTGCTAGAAGCTAAAGGACCAGGAGCTAGGAGCTAAAGGACCAGGAGCTAGGAGCTAAAGGACCAGGAGCTAGGAGCTAAAGGACCGGGAGTTAGAGCAACGACAGGAGTAGCAGCTAAAGAAAGGAACCGGGAGCTAGGAGCTAAAGGACCAGGGGTTAGAAGCTAAAGGACCAGGAGCTAGGAGCTAAAGTACCAGGAGGTAGGAGCTAAAGGACCGGGAGCTAGGAGCTAAAGGACCAGGAGTTAGGAGCTAAAGGACCAGGAGCTAGGAGCTAAAGTACCAGGAGGTAGGAGCTAAAGGACTGGGAGCTAGGAGCTAAAGGACCAGGAGTTAGGAGCTAAAGGACCAGGAGCTAGGAGCTAAAGGACCAGGAGCTAGGAGTTAAAGGACCAGAAGCTAGGAGTTAAAGGACCGGGAGCTAGGAGCTAAAGGACCAGGAGCTAGGAGTTAAAGGACCGGGAGCTAGGAGCTAAAGGACCAGGAGCTAGGAGTTAAAGGACCGGGAGCTAGGAGTTAAAGGACCAGGAGGTAGGAGCTAAAGGACCGGGAGCTAGAAGCTAAAGGACCAGGAGTTAGGAGCTAAAGGACCAGGAGCTAGGAGTTAAAGGACCAGGAGGTAGGAGTTAAAGGACCGGGAGGTAGGAGCTAAAGGACCGGGAGCTAGGAGCTAAAGGACCAGTAGCTAGGAGTTAAAGGACCGCGAGCTAGGAGCTAAAGGACCAGGAGTTAGGAGCTAAAGGACCAGGAGCTAGGAGCTAAAGGACCAGTAGCTAGGAGTTAAAGGACCGGGAGCTAGGAGCTAAAGGACCAGGAGCTAGGAGCTAAAGGACCAGGAGCTAGGAGTTAAAGGACCAGGAGGTAGGAGTTAAAGGACCGGGAGGTAGGAGCTAAAGGACCGGGAGCTAGGAGTTAAAGGACCAGGAGCTAGGAGCTAAAGGACCAGGAGTTAGGAGCTAAAGGACCAGGAGTTAGGAGCTAAAGGACCAGGAGCTAGGAGCTAAAGGACAAGTAGCTAGGAGTTAAAGGACCGGGAGCTAGGAGCTAAAGGACCAGGAGCTAGGAGCTAAAGTACCAGGAGCTAGGAGCTAAAGGACCAGGAGCTAGGAGTTAAAGGACCGGGAGGTAGGAGCTAAAGGACCGGGAGCTAGGAGCTAAAGGACCAGGAGCTAGGAGTTAAAGGACCGGGAGGTAGGAGCTAAAGGACCAGGAGTTAGGAGCTAAAGGACCAGGAGCTAGGAGCTAAAGGACCAGGAGTTAGGAGCTAAAGGACCAGGAGCTAGGAGCTAAAGGACCAGGAGCTAGGAGCTAAATGACCAGGAGCTAGGAGCTAAAGAACCAGGAGCTAGGAGCTAAAGGACCGGGAGTTAGGAGCTAAAGGACCAGGAGTTAGGAGCTAAAGGACCAGGAGCTAGGAGCTAAAGGACCAGGAGCTAGGAGCTAAAGGACCAGGAGCTAGGAGCTAAAGGACCGGGAGTTAGGAGCTAAAGGACCAGGAGTTAGGAGCTAAAGGACCAGGAGCTAGGAGCTAAAGGACCAGGAGCTAGGAGTTAAAGGACCGGGAGCTAGGAGCTAAAGGACCAGGAGTTAGGAGCTAAAGGACCAGGAGGTAGGAGCTAAAGGACCGGGAGCTAGGAGCTAAAGGACCAGGGGTTAGGAGCTAAAGGACCAGGAGCTAGGAGCTAAAGTACCAGGAGGTAGGAGCTAAAGGACCGGGAGCTAGGAGCTAAAGGACCAGGAGTTAGGAGCTAAAGGACCAGGAGCTAGGAGCTAAAGTACCAGGAGGTAGGAGCTAAAGGACCGGGAGCTAGGAGCTAAAGGACCAGGAGTTAGGAGCTAAAGGACCAGGAGCTAGGAGCTAAAGGACCAGGAGCTAGGAGTTAAAGGACCAGAAGCTAGGAGTTAAAGGACCGGGAGCTAGGTGCTAAAGGACCAGGAGCTAGGAGTTAAAGGACCGGGAGCTAGGAGCTAAAGGACCAGGAGCTAGGAGTTAAAGGACCGGGAGCTAGGAGTTAAAGGACCAGGAGGTAGGAGCTAAAGGACCGGGAGCTAGAAGCTAAAGGACCAGGAGTTAGGAGCTAAAGGACCAGGAGCTAGGAGTTAAAGGACCAGGAGGTAGGAGTTAAAGGACCGGGAGGTAGGAGCTAAAGGACCGGGAGCTAGGAGCTAAAGGACCAGGAGTTAGGAGCTAAAGGACCAGGAGTTAGGAGCTAAAGGACCAGGAGCTAGGAGCTAAAGGACCAGTAGCTAGGAGTTAAAGGACCGGGAGCTAGGAGCTAAAGGACCAGGAGCTAGGAGTTAAAGGACCAGGAGCTAGGAGCTAAAGGACCAGGAGTTAGGAGCTAAAGGACCAGGAGTTAGGAGCTAAAGGACCAGGAGCTAGGAGCTAAAGGACAAGTAGCTAGGAGTTAAAGGACCGGGAGCTAGGAGCTAAAGGACCAGGAGCTAGGAGCTAAAGTACCAGGAGCTAGGAGCTAAAGGACCAGGAGCTAGGAGTTAAAGGACCGGGAGGTAGGAGCTAAAGGACCGGGAGCTAGGAGCTAAAGGACCAGGAGCTAGGAGTTAAAGGACCGGGAGGTAGGAGCTAAAGAACCGGGAGGTAGGAGCTAAAGAACCGGGAGCTAGGAGCTAAAGGACCAGGAGTTAGGAGCTAAAGGACCAGGAGCTAGGAGTTAAAGGACCAGGAGCTAGGAGTTAAAGGACCGGGAGGTAGGAGCTAAAGGACCGGGAGCTAGGAGCTAAAGGACCAGGAGTTAGGAGCTAAAGGACCAGGAGCTAGGAGCTAAAGGACCAGGAGTTAGGAGCTAAAGGACCAGGAGCTAGGAGCTAAAGGACCAGGAGCTAGGAGCTAAAGGACCAGGAGCTAGGAGCTAAAGGACCAGGAGCTAGGAGTTAAAGGACCGGGAGCTAGGAGCTAAAGGACCAGGAGTTAGGAGCTAAAGGACCAGGAGCTAGGAGCTAAAGGACCAGTAGCTAGGAGTTAAAGGACCGGGAGCTAGGAGCTAAAGGACCAGGAGCTAGGAGCTAAAGGACCAGGAGCTAGGAGTTAAAGGACCAGGAGCTAGGAGTTAAAGGACTGGGAGCTAGGAGCTAAAGGACCAGGAGTTAGGAGCTAAAGGACCAGGAGCTAGGAGCTAAAGGACCAGTAGCTAGGAGTTAAAGGACCGGGAGCTAGGAGTTAAAGGACCAGGAGCTAGGAGTTAAAGGACTGGGAGCTAGGAGCTAAAGGACCAGGAGTTAGGAGCTAAAGGACCAGGAGCTAGGAGTTAAAGGACCAGGAGCTAGGAGTTAAAGGACCGGGAGGTAGGAGCTAAAGGACCGGGAGCTAGGAGCTAAAGGACCAGGAGTTAGGAGCTAAAGGACCAGGAGCTAGGAGCTAAAGGACCAGTAGCTAGGAGTTAAAGGACCGGGAGCTAGGAGTTAAAGGACCAGGAGTTAGGAGCTAAAGGACCAGTAGCTAGGAGCTAAAGGACCAGGAGCTAGGAGCTAAAGGACCAGGAGCTAGGAGTTAAAGGACCAGAAGCTAGGAGTTAAAGGACCAGAAGCTAGGAGTTAAAGGACCAGGAGCTAGGAGTTAAAGGACCAGAAGCTAGGAGTTAAAGGACCAGGAGGTAGGAGCTAAAGGACCGGGAGCTAGGAGCTAAAGGACCAGGGAGTTAGGAGCTAAAGGACCAGGAGCCTAGGAGTTAAAGTACCAGGAGGTAGTGAGTTTAAAGGACCTGGGAGGTTAGACTAAAGGACCGGGAGCTAGGAGCTAAAGGACCAGGAGTTAGGAGCTAAACGCGACCAGGAGTTAGGAGCTAAAGGACCAGGGCTAGGAGCTAAGGACCAGTAAGCTAGGAGTTAAAGGACCGGAGAGCTAGGAGCTAAAGGACCAGGAGCTAGAGTTAACGGACCAGGAGCTGTAGGAGCTAAAGACCAGGAGCTAGGAGTTAAAGAACCGGGAGTAGGAGCTAGGACCGGGACTAGGAGCTAAAGGACCAGAGCCTAGGAGCTAAAGGACCAGGAGCTAGGAGTTAAAGGACCGGGGGTTAGGAGCTAAAGGACCGGAGCTAGGACCTAAAGGACCATGAGCTAGGATTAAAGGACCGCTAGGTAGGAGCTAAAGAACCGGGATGGTAGGGAGCTAAAGAACCGGGAGCTAGGAGCAAAAAGACCAGGAGTTTAGAGCTAAAAGGACCAGGAGCTAGGAGTTAAAGGACCAGGAGCTAGGATTAAAGGACCGGGAGGTAAGGGACTAAAGGACCGGAGAAGCTAGAGCTAAAGGACATGAGTTAGTAGCTAAAGGACCAGGACTAGGAGCTAAAGGACCAGAGTTAGGAGCTAAAGGACAGGAGCTAGGAGCTAAAGGACCAGTAGCTAGATTTAAGGACCGGAGCTAGAGCCAAAGGACCAGAGTTAGAGGAGCTAAAGGACCAGAGCTCAGAGCTAAAGAAACCATAGCTAGGAGTCTTTTTTACGTTTTTTTTTTGTTCATTATCTTGAGCCGGGGGGGGGGAGGCCGGGGTATAGGAGTCTAAAGGACCATGAGCAAGGAGCACCTAAAGGACCAGGAGCTTAGGAGTTAAAGGACCAGGAGCTAGGAAGTTCAAGACCGGGAGGTAGGAGCTAAAGGACCGGGAGCTTGGAGCTAAAGACCAGGAGTTAGGAGCTAAAGGACCAGTAGCTAGGAGCTAAATGGACCAGGAGCTAGGAAGCAAAAGGAACTCAGGAGCTAGGTGTTAAACACAGGAGCTAGGAGTTAAAGGATCCGGGAGGGTAGGTAGCTAAAGGACCGGAGCTAGGAATGCTAAGGAACCAGGATTTAGGAAGCTAAAGACCATGAGCTAGGAGCTAAAGGACCAGTAGCCCTAGGAGGTAAAGGACCGGAGCTATGGAGTTAAAGACCGTGAGCTAGGAGCTAAAGGACCATGAGTTAGGAGCTAAGACCAGTAGCTAGAGCTAAAGGACGGGGAGCCTCGGAGGCTAAAGACCAGGAGCAGAGCTAAAGGACCAGATTAGGAGCTAAAGACCAGTAGCTATGAGCTAAATGGACCAGTAGCTAGAGTTAAAGGACCGGGAGCTAGTGAGTAAAAGGACCGGGAGCTAGGAGCCAAAAGGACCAGGAGTTAGAGCTAAAGGACCAGTAGCTAGGAGCTAAAGGACCGGGAGCTCGGAGCTAAAGGACCAGGAGCTAGGAGCTAAAGGACCAGTAGCTAGGAGCTAAAGGACCAGGAGCTAGGAGCTAAAGGACCAGTAGCTAGGAGCTAAAGGACCAGGAGCTAGGAGCTAAAGGACCGGGAGCTAGGAGCTAAAGGACCAGTAGCTAGGAGCTAAAGGACTGGGAGCTAGGAGCTAAAGGACCAGTAGCTAGGAGCTAAAGGACCAGTGGCTAGGAGCTAAATGACCAGTAGCCAAAGGAGGCAGATGGTCCTATCTGGACCGACTAAATCCTTAGCTGATTGGCTAACAGCCAACTTCAATGTGTTGTTTTCTGCATTACAGGACAGTGAGGCATCCAAAGCCACGCCCACCCTGTTGAGGAGAGTGTCAGTGCCTGCAATGGTTCAGTCCCGCGGCGCCCCCTGTGGCTGCACCAGGTAGTACATTTGTCTGATTTCAGGTTGTACTTGTTTCACTAAGACATGTCATGAGGAGCAGACCTGGAAGATCCTCATGTATGAAGCAGAAAACTGGCAGCATAATGTTTTAAGCACATTTACTAAACTATCATAACGTTGTTTTAAAGTGTGTGACGGTGTGCAGTAATTTACAGAAACTCTTGCTGCTGTGAGCCTGATGTTCTGGCAGCAGGAGATGCACTGGAGCTCAGCAGGAACCAGGCCTCGGTTGGAGATGTTCAAAGTTTGGGTCCTTTAGACTAGCGGGCCTCAACCTTTTTTGTGCCACGGATCGGTTATATGTCAGTCAATATTTTCACGGACCGGCGTTTAAATTTTGGGGGGTAAATACGATCAAATAAAATGATACACCTGGCATAAAATCAAATACAAGCAGCATAAAAATGAAACTCACCATTATGCTGAATTAGTGGGAGCCCTGAGCTTGTTTCTCTGAAGCAAGCCGGTCCTATCTAGAAGTAATCGGAGACAATGACACACGAAGTGTGCTCCTGATGTCCAGTCTGCTCCGTTGCTTAGTTTTGGTCGCTGTAACCGCATAAAATGCCGCTTCACAGAGATAGGATGTTGGAAAGGGAAGCAGGGTTTTCAGTGCTTTTGTGGCGATCTCTGGATATTCTGCCTTGATTTTAATCCAGAACGCGGGCAGAGTTGTTGTCTGAAACAAAGTTTTAAGGCCTCCGTCATTTTCAATCTCCAGCAGTTGATCCTCTTCTGCCGTGGACAGGCTCGATTCACATGGTTTGTTCACAAATGGATCGCGGATCCATTCTTTTGCAGTTCGGGGATCTTTTGTGGTTGGGACTCTTTTAAAAGCATAGACAGGTGATTGTGCACCAGCTGTGAGAATGGTGGTTCAGGCTCAGTTTCTTCTAAAATCCCTAATGTTTGAAACATGTCAAATATCCCTCTGTTCGCTCGCCGTCCCCACAATTCCAGTTTGGCTTTAAATGCAGCTACTTTATCTGCTGCATTGAATACAGTTGTCATTTTCCCTTGGAGTGACCGGTTGAGTTCATTGAGCAGGTTGAATATATCGCATAAGTAAGCGAGTTTTGCGACCCAGTCCTTGTCCTTGAAATGTGCTGCCAGTGGTGACTTTTTTTCTGAAAGAAATCTCTGCAGCGGCTCGCGTAAGTCAAACACTGTGGCCAACGACCTCCCTTTAGATAGCCACCTTACTTCTGTGTGTAAGAGAAGGCATCGGTACTCTGCGCCCATCTGCTCGCAAAGCTGCTCAAACAGACGCGAGTTAAGGGCATGCGCTTTGACATGGTTGATAACTTTAACGACATCATTCAGTACGCTGTTTAGTTCAGGTGACATTTTTCGGCTAGCGAGCATTTCCCTGTGAAGGACACAGTGCGTGGCTTCACATTCAGGCGCAACCTCCTTAACCAGCGCCGTTAATCCAGAAAGCTGCCCAGTCATAGCAGCAGCTCCGTCTGTGCATATGCCGACACAAAAGGACCAATTCAGTTTACCTGAGATGTAATCATTCACGGACCTAAATAGTGCTGCGGCTGTGGTGTTGGTTGGCAACCATTGTGCACATAACATATCCTCATGTACATCCTCCTGATATATATATCGCACATAAACAAGTAGTATTGCCTTGTTGTCAATATCAGTAGACTCGTCAACCTGGATTGCATACCACGGCGATGTATTACTCCTCTCCAACAGTTGTGTCTCAATGTCCTCTGCACTTTCATTTATTCGCCTAGTGACGGTTGAAGCTGAAAGAGGAACCTGTGCTATCTTCTTAACTGCGGCAGGATCAATTCTTCACCAATAGTAAAAGGTTTCTTGGCCTTAGCAATACGGTTAGCCACTAAGAACGATGCGCTCAGAGCACTCACATTTGTGGTGGCCATCAGTACTTGCTTCTGTCTTTCTTGTTCAATTTTTTTTCTTTCAAAAAAGTCCAAAGGTTTGTCTTTTAAGGCAGGATGCTTAGTCTCTAAGTGCCGAAGCAGCTTTGAAGGCTTCATTGCCTCGTTTGCTAGCCTGTCGCCACATATTATGCAGAGTGGGTTCGGCGCGTGAGAACCACCTTGGGCGATAAATCCATATTTTAAGTAGGACTCGTGATATTGTCGTTTAAATGCAGCTTTCATTTTCTTGGAAGTTGTAGCCTCTTCTTCTTTCTCCTCATTGGGCCTTTTCCCCTTTCCAAAAAAGCTGTCCAAACAGGTCTGTTTCTTACTCATTTTTGCTAGCTTTAGGTGTGATATTAACATATCACGTGACCTGAATTAACCTGTGTCAAGAGGCACAGATGAACCGACTCATGTAATTGGGAAAGAATACCCCAATTTTTTATATTTTTCAAAATAAAACATCACTCAGACTCTGATCATCGATAAATTATTTATATTTTATATTATTATTATTTTTTATTTTTTTCTGTGCGGCCCGGTACCAAATGACCGACGGTCCGGTGGTTGGCGACCTCTGCTTTAGACTATCTTCAGCGTTTGTTGTCCAGCAGACACTATCTTCAGTAAAATACGTCCAGATGCTGAGCCATTCAGTGGCTCCTGCTGCCACCCCCTGGTTTATTGGGGAACTGCTTCTTCTGCCAAATTTCCCTATCTGAAGATGTTATGCTACATTCTAGACACTGCAGGACTTTCACTGCGCCTTGATGCGCTTCAACCATTGCCTTAGCATGTAAACCAGCTGCTTCTGCTGTCTCTGCTGCTTGCCGTCTGAACGTAGATAATCATCACCAAAATTGAATGAGCTGTTCTTTGGCATGAGGGACCCTGTGATGAAAACCTCATTAAAATCATCCTTAACTTTTTTATTTATTTAGAAAAGTCAAGCAAACAGACAAACTTTTGGTGATGAAAAGGTAACCTCCTTGCCGGAGGTTATAAACACCAGGGCTGTTTCACAATTCTCAAGAATGAGAGTACAGACGAGTGCAGACGGGCAAGCGTTAGCCCTGGCCGCTGCAGACAGGCTAATGTTAGCCATGGCTGCTGCAGACGGGCTAACGCTGGCGCTGACTGCTGCAGACGGGCTAATGTTAGCCATGGCTGCTGCAGACGGGCTAACGCTGGCGCTGACTGCTGCAGACGGGCTAATGTTAGCCATGGCTGCTGCAGACGGGCTAACATTAGCCCTGGCAGCTGCAGACAGGCTAACGCTGGTGCTGACTGCTGCAGACGGGCTAATGTTAGCCCTGGCTGCTGTAGACGGGCTAACGTTAGCCCTGGCCGCTGCAGACGGGCTAACGTTAGCCCTAGCCGCTGCAGATGGGCTAACGTTAGCCCTGGCAGCTGCAGACAGGCTAACGCTGGTGCTGACTGCTGCAGACGGGCTAATGTTAGCCCTGGCTGCTGTAGACGGGCTAACGTTAGCCCTGGCCGCTGCAGACGGGCTAACGTTAGCCCTAGCCGCTGCAGATGGGCTAACGTTAGCCCTGGCAGCTGCAGACGGGCTAAAGTTAGCCCTGGCTGCTGTAGACGGGCTAACATTAGCCCTGGCCGCTGCAGACGGGCTAACGTTAGCCCTGGCCGCTGCAGACAGGCTAACGCTGGTGCTGACTGCTGCAGACAGGGTAACGTTAGCCCTGGCCGCTGCAGACGGGCTAACGTTAGCCCTAGCTGCTGCAGACGGCAGTCAGCGCCTGATGACTCTGAAACATGACTCCATGTTTTTCAAACCTTTCAGCTGTTAACCCTTTAAACTTTAGCCCCTCCCTCACCTATGAACCCAGTGCCTCCCTCCAGGTCACCGCTCTGGGCCTGGACCCTAAACACGCCCTTTCTCCCCTCTGGGAGGGGGAAGGGAGGTGCAGGTGATGTTCCACACAGCTAACCTGCTTAGAGCAGCTAATGTCTGAGTCCTAGGAACCCGTTTTCTTTGCTATGCTCCTGCAGCTAATCTGCTCCTGATGCTCCCTTGATTTTGTTTGGTTCTGGTTACCTGATGGTACCGAGCTCCACAGTCAGAACTAAACTGACCAGATGTTTTTCACTTTATTAAAAAGTGGAGGAATGTGTGTCTGATTTTTGTCTAGAACTGACCTTTGACCCTTTGACTGAAGGTCGGTTCCAAAAGGAGGATCCCTGCGGCGGTTCTGACCCGGTTCTGTTTGTGGTTGCAGCGGCCGCAGCACGCCCAGACTGCTGAGGAAGAACAGCGTCCAGCGCTCCCAGGAATCCAGGGGGTCCGGGTCATCCACGGCGCCCCCCAGCCTCCTCTGCAGGGTTCTGGCCAAGTCCAGGAGGAAGAGCTGCCCCCTCCTCCCCCAGCGCCACCTGGACTCCAGTTCTGAGAACAGCGCCTTCCAGCCCGATTAGACGCCTCAGAACCGGCCCAGATGTTTAGTTCTGATGGTCTGTATCAGCGCCGTCCCCTCAGGGTTCTGGTCGACCGAAAGGAACACAATGGGTCCAGGAAGCAGGCAGCCTGAGGTCCGAGTCCCGCCTGAATCAGAACCAGTCATCAGAACCGCTGATCTTAGATCAGTCCCTGTTGGATCGGACCTTGGTTCAGTTAGACAGACTGAGACGACCAGTGTTTCTATCTGGGTCCTTTATTCTCACAGAGCCAGGATGGTCCAATAAAAGCAGAACCACTCTTTGGTTCAGACGGGTTTGGACTCACACAGAGCTTCATCTGGAGCGGTTCCGTCCAAACCAGCTGAATCCAAGAGGTTCTGCTGTGGACCGCTTCATGGACTCAACATTCAAAGCAAAGCATCATCATCATTAAGCAAACATTACAATAAGGTTCTGATTGGTTGGTTCTGATCCAAAGTGCTTCCAAATAAAGTGCTGTCTGAAATAAAGAAATGTCCCTGAGGTTTGGTCACTTGGTACGGTCCAACGACCCGGGGCGGGCCGGTACGGTCCGATTGGACTGGGTGAGCAGCAACGTTCCAAGAAAGAAAGAAAAGTTCTGATCCAATCTGATGATCCGGCTCAGAAAACTAATAAAAACATTTAAAAAAGAAAACATTTTGCTGAAGAAAGAAAATGGCAGAGCGAGCCGCTGAAACCGCCTCCTCTGATTGGCTGGTCGGTTGCTGGGGCGATGAGGAGGAGGAGGAGTCCTGGTCTCCAAAGGCAGGGTTCCCCCTGGAAGACAAAGGCTGGATGAGTGAGCTGAACCGGAACACCGGAACTGGACCTCAGCCTGTAGAACCACAGAACCCAACCCGGTCCGACTAGCATCGCTACGGTCCTCCTCATCCTCACAAGCATCTTCATCACAGTTCCACCATGAGACACAATAGAGGAGAAAGAAAATGCTGATATTTGTTTCCCAGGAAGCAGCCAGAGGTCTGGTCCTCTAAGACCTCTGCCTCCTTCCAGAAGCTCCACTGGTTCCGTCCACAGCCTCCAAACCCAGCTGGGGTGAAGGACAGGGGCAGAACCGGACCTGCAGCAGGCTGGGAGGAGAGGTTCTACCACAGGAAGCAGGTCAGAGACCTCAGATGATCTCCATCTGAGAGCCCACATTAGACCTCCTCCTATGGACACCGCTGAGCACAACTACAGACCTACAGCTATGGAGCTGAGGTCCAGACAGCTGGAACAACGTCCCACTGCTGAGACAGAACCCGTCCAGAACCGTCTGAACTTCCCCACAGAGCAGATGATGATCCAGAGAGGTCATCATGTGGAACCAAAGTCAAACTGAACTGATGGTGTTTGGAGGAAGAGGAATGCTGAGCTTCATCCCAAAAACAGCAGAGCTGCTGTGAAGCACAGGATGGAGGCATCATGCTGTGGGCTGTTTCCCTGCTAAGAGGAAAGGAAGGCTGATCTGTGTTCAGGAAGTAATGAATGGAGGCATTTTTCAGTGAAGGTGGGAGGGGGCTGGGTCTTCCAGCAGATAAAGGATCTAGACACACAAACCAAGGATGGGCTGGGTTAAAAACGTTCAAACATCCCTGAGCTGATGGGGGGGTGGACCAGATAACCTGCTGTAGAGTTAGCAGACCAGAGAAGCTGTAAAATAAATGCTTTATAAATAAATGATGTAAAAACTCTCCTGGACTTATTTCCTGTCATTCAGTCTCTCATAGATGCAGTGGACCTAAAGTCGACTGATGAGGAACATTATTAAGAATAATAACTTTATTCATCTCACATTGGAGAAAGTCCCTCTGCATTTAACCCCTCCCCTTGGGGAGCAGTGGGCTGCCATGGTGCGGCGCCCGGGGAGCAGTGTGGGGTTAAGGGTCTTGCTCAGAGTGGAGGGCTGTGGGAGTGGGACTCGAACTCAGAACCTCTGTATCCTAAGCTCTATGCCCTAACCAGTAGACCACCACTCCCTTCAACACAATAACTATGCAGAATATTCACGCTCTAAGCTAAACATCTGAAATTTGAAATCTGTTTCCATGGAGACCAGATAAAATGATCAGATGATGAGGTGTTTACATGCACACAGCTTAGAGGGTGATGAAGCTGCCTGTGTTCTAAACAAACCCTCACCTGTCTGCTGTGTTCCTGCCCTGCATGGTGGCACTGATGATGTCATCCTTCTGTTACAGACCTTCATTACTTCTTTGTTCTCTTTTGTTTTGGGGCCATGTTAGTTAAAGTCCGGTCAGTAAGGAATGATCAATGGATCCTTATTTATACCTAAAGCTAATATGTTTGCGGTGCTTTAATGAATTTATTGTTAATCAGTAAAAAAATAAAAACAATAATTTTCACTGATTCTGGGAGCAGCCATTTTAGCCCAAATATAGTAGCCCCTCCCTCCTGCCATCTTCCAGCAGTGACGTCACGGTGCGGTAAGCCTAGCGCCATTCTCCCCGCTTTCCAAGCTAAATCAATGGGAACTACTAGACACATCTGCAATCAACAACAATTATTGAAGATTTCCAGAGGACTTCACCATTGAAATTCACCAGAGCTATAGTGAAACTGACAATGCCCACGTGCATGGCAGCTGGATGCTGGAATACATTGGGTAAAAGTGGAAAAAAAAGAGTTATTCCACCTTTCTGATTCCTGATCCTCCACGGACGGGTTGGTCGTTGGATCGCCAACTTGAAGAGGGAGGATTTGCCATCGAACTTCTGGCCAGAGAAAAAACCCGTAATATGTAGCCAACATTTGGAAGAAGAATGTTTTCAAGATGACTTGGATAATAGCGCGTTGTGACAAACACCAGATACAGCACTGGGACTTGATCAACAGCCGATACCGCACCGTGACAATGTCACTAACCAGTAGGTGGCAGTAGTGTTCTTTGACAAACATGGACGCCTCCAGTAAAGCACATTCACATGAAAATTACTCTGAATTAAAAACACTGATCATTTATTGAACAGGATGGAATCATTTCAGATTTAAAGAACTTTCAGAAGTTTGGATTCTGAATATGAGCGACTTTTCCTTTAAAGCTACAGTGTAGTTTTCAGCGCCATCTGGTGGTCAGACTGGAGCCAGGTTTGTTTACAACAGAGATGCAGCTATCATGATTTTAGGAGCCGATCACCAACATCAGTATCTGCTGATTCAACATCAAATCGATAAATTCTTAAACGCTATCGTCTCATAAACAAGTGTTAAATCAGGAGATGACCTGTTAGTGCAGGAGGCGTGCCGTAGCATAAAGATGTCTGCCTCTTTGTAATTAGAAATAGCAGTTTCTAAGGCGACGCAAACATAAAGATGGAGAATTTCAGGTGATAATCAAATTCATCTGTCAGTAAATCCCAGTAAGTATTACACACTGGATCCTTAAGCTAAGGGCTCAGCGGTATGCGCTCATTTGCTACAGTTTCATCCACACGCTACATTAGAGCCGCCTCCACGGAGGAGGAGGGGGGCAGAGAGAAAAACGTCACGCTGATGTTGAACTCGAGCAGAGGAGGTGATTTCACTCCAAAGCTTCGTATGGGATGGACACCAACTGGAATAACAGTCAGAAGATCCCACCTCTGTCTTTAGGAAGGACATTTCTGATCGGACTGAATCAGATTATAATCTTCTGTCTGACGAGTTTACGTAAAACATTTCTGATCCAATCAGTCCCATTATCGGTGTCCATGGAAACATAGCTGCTGGTGTAAAAGGCAGAATGTTTCCTCGCTCAGAAAGAACCAATCAGAGTTCCTCTCTTCATTCACTTTAAATAAACGTCTCCTGAATAGAAATAGTTGGTTTGGATGAAACCAGCAGCATGGCTGAATGTTTCAGAAGCACCTGATAATACCAAGCTACGATTGGTTCGTTCCCCTGCTGTTAGCTCACCTGTACGACGCCAACAGGTGAGAAGATTTCACTCTTTAAGATCCAACATTATGCCAAGCTGCAAGAAACAAACAAGATGTTAGGAGAACTGAAGCATGGTTCTGATGAAGGTTGTTTCTATTTCGTTTTCTGTCTCGCCCTTCTCTACTTTTCTCCCTCTGCAGAACGACAGCTCCTCAGGAGGGGGCGCCATCCTACACCTAAAACGCTTCATCTGGTGCTCAGTCTGACTGATTTTAATCATTTATAGAATCTGTTGTTATAGAACAGTTCTACTGAGGCACGGTTCTACTGAGGCACGGTTCTACTGAGGCACGGTTCTACTGAGGCACGGTTCTACTGTGGCCTGGTTCTACTGAGGCACGGTTCTACTGAGGCACGGTTCTACTGTGGCCTGGTTCTACTGAGGCACGGTTCTACTGCGGCACGGTTCTACTGAGGCACGGTTCTACTGAGGCACGGTTCTACTGAGGCACGGTTCTACTGTGGCCTGGTTCTACTGAGGCACGGTTCTACTGAGGCACGGTTCTACTGAGGCACGGTTCTACTGTGGCCTGGTTCTACTGAGGCACGGTTCTACTGTGGCCTGGTTCTACTGAGGCACGGTTCTACTGAGGCCTGGTTCTACTGAGGCACGGTTCTACTGTGGCCTGGTTCTACTGAGGCACGGTTCTACTGCGGCACGGTTCTACTGTGGCCTGGTTCTACTGAGGCACGGTTCTACTGAGGCACGGTTCTACTGAGGCACGGTTCTACTGAGGCACGGTTCTACTGTGGCCTGGTTCTACTGAGGCACGGTTCTACTGAGGCACAGTTCTACTGAGGCACGGTTCTACTGAGGCACGGTTCTACTGTGGCACAGTTCTACTGAGGCCTGGTTCTACTGAGGCACGGTTCTACTGTGGCCTGGTTCTACTGAGGCACGGTTCTACTGAGGCACGGTTCTACTGAGGCACGGTTCTACTGTGGCCTGGTTCTACTGAGGCACGGTTCTACTGAGGCACGGTTCTACTGCGGCACGGTTCTACTGAGGCACGGTTCTACTGTGGCCTGGTTCTACTGAGGCACGGTTCTACTGAGGCACGGTTCTACTGAGGCACGGTTCTACTGAGGCACGGTTCTACTGTGGCCTGGTTCTACTGAGGCACGGTTCTACTGCGGCACGGTTCTACTGTGGCACGGTTCTACTGAGGCACGGTTCTACTGAGGCACGGTTCTACTGTGGCCTGGTTCTACTGAGGCACGGTTCTACTGAGGCACGGTTCTACTGAGGCACGGTTCTACTGCGGCACGGTTCTACTGAGGCACGGTTCTACTGTGGCCTGGTTCTACTGAGGCACGGTTCTACTGAGGCACGGTTCTACTGAGGCACGGTTCTACTGTGGCCTGGTTCTACTGAGGCACGGTTCTACTGTGGCCTGGTTCTACTGAGGCACGGTTCTACTGAGGCACGGTTCTACTGTGGCATGGTTCTACTGAGGCACGGTTCTACTGAGGCACGGTTCTACTGAGGCCTGGTTCTACTGAGGCACGGTTCTACTGTGGCCTGGTTCTACTGAGGCACGGTTCTACTGTGGCACGGTTCTACTGAGGCACGGTTCTACTGAGGCACGGTTCTACTGAGGCATGGTTCTACTGTGGCATGGTTCTACTGAGGCACGGTTCTACTGAGGCACGGTTCTACTGAGGCACGGTTCTACTGTGGCATGGTTCTACTGAGGCACGGTTCTACTGAGGCACGGTTCTACTGAGGCACGGTTCTACTGTGGCATGGTTCTACTGAGGCACGGTTCTACTGAGGTTGGGTTCTACTGAGGCCTGGTTCTACTGAGGCACGGTTCTACTGAGGCACGGTTCTACTGAGGCACGGTTCTACTGAGGCCTGGTTCTACTGAGGCATGGTTCTACTGTGGCCTGGTTCTACTGAGGCACGGTTCTACTGAGGCACGGTTCTACTGAGGCACGGTTCTACTGAGGCACGGTTCTACTGAGGCACGGTTCTACTGTGGCCTGGTTCTACTGAGGCACGGTTCTACTGAGGCACGGTTCTACTGAGGCACGGTTCTACTGAGGCACGGTTCTACTGAGGCACGGTTCTACTGTGGCCTGGTTCTACTGAGGCACGGTTCTACTGAGGCACGGTTCTACTGAGGCACGGTTCTACTGTGGCATGGTTCTACTGAGGCACGGTTCTACTGAGGCACGGTTCTACTGAGGCACGGTTCTACTGAGGCACGGTTCTACTGAGGCACGGTTCTACTGTGGCCTGGTTCTACTGAGGCCTGGTTCTACTGTGGCCTGGTTCTACTGAGGCACGGTTCTACTGAGGCCTGGTTCTACTGAGGCACGGTTCTACTGAGGCACGGTTCTACTGAGGCCTGGTTCTACTGAGGCACGGTTCTACTGAGGCACGGTTCTACTGTGGCCTGGTTCTACTGAGGCACGGTTCTACTGAGGCACGGTTCTACTGTGGCCTGGTTCTACTGAGGCACGGTTCTACTGAGGCACGGTTCTACTGAGGCACGGTTCTACTGTGGCATGGTTCTACTGAGGCACGGTTCTACTGAGGCACGGTTCTACTGAGGCACGGTTCTACTGAGGCACGGTTCTACTGAGGCACGGTTCTACTGTGGCCTGGTTCTACTGAGGCACGGTTCTACTGAGGCACGGTTCTACTGAGGCACGGTTCTACTGTTGCCTGGTTCTACTGAGGCACGGTTCTACTGCGGCACGGTTCTACTGTTGCCTGGTTCTACTGAGGCACGGTTCTACTGAGGCACGGTTCTACTGAGGCACGGTTCTACTGTGGCCTGGTTCTACTGAGGCACGGTTCTACTGTGGCCTGGTTCTACTGAGGCACGGTTCTACTGAGGCACGGTTCTACTGAGGCACGGTTCTACTGAGGCACGGTTCTACTGAGGCCTGGTTCTACTGAGGCACGGTTCTACTGAGGCCTGGTTCTACTGAGGCACGGTTCTACTGTGGCCTGGTTCTACTGAGGCACGGTTCTACTGAGGCACAGTTCTACTGAGGCACGGTTCTACTGTGGCACGGTTCTACTGAGGCACGGTTCTACTGAGGCACGGTTCTACTGTGGCCTGGTTCTACTGAGGCACGGTTCTACTGAGGCACGGTTCTACTGAGGCACGGTTCTACTGAGGCACGGTTCTACTGAGGCACGGTTCTACTGTGGCCTGGTTCTACTGAGGCACGGTTCTACTGAGGCCTGGTTCTACTGCGGCACGGTTCTACTGAGGCACGGTTCTACTGTGGCATGGTTCTACTGAGGCACGGTTCTACTGAGGCCTGGTTCTACTGAGGCACGGTTCTACTGAGGCCTGGTTCTACTGAGGCACGGTTCTACTGAGGCACGGTTCTACTGAGGCCTGGTTCTACTGAGGCACGGTTCTACTGAGGCACGGTTCTACTGTGGCCTGGTTCTACTGAGGCACGGTTCTACTGAGGCACGGTTCTACTGAGGCCTGGTTCTACTGAGGCACGGTTCTACTGAGGCACGGTTCTACTGAGGCCTGGTTCTACTGAGGCACGGTTCTACTGAGGCACGGTTCTACTGTGGCCTGGTTCTACTGAGGCACGGTTCTACTGAGGCACGGTTCTACTGAGGCACGGTTCTACTGAGGCCTGGTTCTACTGAGGCACGGTTCTACTGAGGCACGGTTCTACTGAGGCCTGGTTCTACTGAGGCACGGTTCTACTGTGGCCTGGTTCTACTGAGGCACGGTTCTACTGTGGCCTGGTTCTACTGAGGCACGGTTCTACTGAGGCACGGTTCTACTGAGGCCTGGTTCTACTGAGGCACGGTTCTACTGAGGCATGGTTCTACTGTGGCATGGTTCTACTGAGGCACGGTTCTACTGAGGCACGGTTCTACTGAGGCACGGTTCTACTGTGGCACGGTTCTACTGAGGCACGGTTCTACTGAGGCACGGTTCTACTGAGGCACGGTTCTACTGTGGCCTGGTTCTACTGAGGCACGGTTCTACTGAGGCACGGTTCTACTGAGGCCTGGTTCTACTGAGGCACGGTTCTACTGAGGCCTGGTTCTACTGAGGCACGGTTCTACTGAGGCACGGTTCTACTGAGGCCTGGTTCTACTGAGGCACGGTTCTACTGTGGCCTGGTTCTACTGAGGCCTGGTTCTACTGAGGCACGGTTCTACTGAGGCCTGGTTCTACTGTGGCCTGGTTCTACTGAGGCACGGTTCTACTGAGGCACGGTTCTACTGTGGCCTGGTTCTACTGAGGCACGGTTCTACTGAGGCACGGTTCTACTGTGGCCTGGTTCTACTGAGGCACGGTTCTACTGAGGCACTGTTCTACTGAGGCACGGTTCTACTGAGGCACGGTTCTACTGAGGCCTGGTTCTACTGAGGCACGGTTCTACTGAGGCACGGTTCTACTGAGGCACGGTTCTACTGTGGCCTGGTTCTACTGAGGCACGGTTCTACTGAGGCACGGTTCTACTGAGGCACGGTTCTACTGAGGCACGGTTCTACTGTGGCCTGGTTCTACTGAGGCACGGTTCTACTGAGGCACGGTTCTACTGAGGCCTGGTTCTACTGAGGCACGGTTCTACTGTGGCATGGTTCTACTGAGGCACGGTTCTACTGAGGCCTGGTTCTACTGAGGCACGGTTCTACTGAGGCACGGTTCTACTGAGGCCTGGTTCTACTGAGGCACGGTTCTACTGTGGCCTGGTTCTACTGAGGCACGGTTCTACTGAGGCACGGTTCTACTGAGGCACGGTTCTACTGTGGCCTGGTTCTACTGAGGCACGGTTCTACTGAGGCACGGTTCTACTGTGGCCTGGTTCTACTGAGGCACGGTTCTACTGTGGCATGGTTCTACTGAGGCACGGTTCTACTGCGGCCTGGTTCTACTGAGGCACGGTTCTACTGAGGCATGGTTCTACTGAGGCACGGTTCTACTGAGGCACGGTTCTACTGAGGCCTGGTTCTACTGAGGCACGGTTCTACTGTGGCCTGGTTCTACTGAGGCACGGTTCTACTGAGGCACGGTTCTACTGAGGCCTGGTTCTACTGAGGCACGGTTCTACTGAGGCACGGTTCTACTGTGGCCTGGTTCTACTGAGGCACGGTTCTACTGAGGCCTGGTTCTACTGAGGCCTGGTTCTACTGAGGCACGGTTCTACTGTGGCCTGGTTCTACTGAGGCACGGTTCTACTGAGGCCTGGTTCTACTGAGGCACGGTTCTACTGAGGCACGGTTCTACTGAGGCCTGGTTCTACTGAGGCACGGTTCTACTGAGGCCTGGTTCTACTGAGGCACGGTTCTACTGAGGCCTGGTTCTACTGAGGCCTGGTTCTACTGAGGCCTGGTTCTACTGAGGCACGGTTCTACTGAGGCACGGTTCTACTGAGGCACGGTTCTACTGAGGCACGGTTCTACTGAGGCCTGGTTCTACTGAGGCACGGTTCTACTGAGGCACGGTTCTACTGTGGCCTGGTTCTACTGAGGCACGGTTCTACTGTGGCCTGGTTCTACTGAGGCACGGTTCTACTGTGGCCTGGTTCTACTGAGGCACGGTTCTACTGAGGCACGGTTCTACTGAGGCACGGTTCTACTGTGGCACGGTTCTACTGAGGCACGGTTCTACTGTGGCCTGGTTCTACTGAGGCACGGTTCTACTGAGGCACGGTTCTACTGAGGCACGGTTCTACTGAGGCACGGTTCTACTGAGGCACGGTTCTACTGAGGCCTGGTTCTACTGAGGCACGGTTCTACTGAGGCCTGGTTCTACTGAGGCACGGTTCTACTGAGGCACGGTTCTACTGAGGCACGGTTCTACTGAGGCATGGTTCTACTGTGGCATGGTTCTACTGAGGCACGGTTCTACTGTGGCCTGGTTCTACTGAGGCACGGTTCTACTGAGGCACGGTTCTACTGTGGCCTGGTTCTACTGAGGCACGGTTCTACTGTGGCCTGGTTCTACTGTGGCACGGTTCTACTGAGGCACGGTTCTACTGAGGCACGGTTCTACTGAGGCCTGGTTCTACTGAGGCCTGGTTCTACTGAGGCACGGTTCTACTGTGGCCTGGTTCTACTGAGGCACGGTTCTACTGAGGCATGGTTCTACTGAGGCACGGTTCTACTGAGGCACAGTTCTACTGAGGCCTGGTTCTACTGAGGCACGGTTCTACTGAGGCCTGGTTCTACTGAGGCACGGTTCTACTGAGGCACGGTTCTACTGTGGCATGGTTCTACTGAGGCACGGTTCTACTGAGGCACGGTTCTACTGAGGCACGGTTCTACTGAGGCACGGTTCTACTGAGGCACGGTTCTACTGTGGCCTGGTTCTACTGAGGCACGGTTCTACTGAGGCACGGTTCTACTGAGGCCTGGTTCTACTGAGGCACGGTTCTACTGAGGCCTGGTTCTACTGAGGCACGGTTCTACTGAGGCCTGGTTCTACTGAGGCCTGGTTCTACTGAGGCACGGTTCTACTGAGGCACGGTTCTACTGTGGCATGGTTCTACTGAGGCACGGTTCTACTGAGGCCTGGTTCTACTGAGGCACGGTTCTACTGTGGCCTGGTTCTACTGAGGCCTGGTTCTACTGAGGCCTGGTTCTACTGAGGCACGGTTCTACTGTGGCCTGGTTCTACTGAGGCACGGTTCTACTGAGGCACGGTTCTACTGAGGCCTGGTTCTACTGAGGCACGGTTCTACTGAGGCCTGGTTCTACTGAGGCCTGGTTCTACTGAGGCACGGTTCTACTGAGGCCTGGTTCTACTGAGGCACGGTTCTACTGAGGCACGGTTCTACTGTGGCCTGGTTCTACTGAGGCACGGTTCTACTGAGGCACAGTTCTACTGAGGCACGGTTCTACTGAGGCACGGTTCTACTGTGGCCTGGTTCTACTGAGGCACGGTTCTACTGAGGCACGGTTCTACTGAGGCACAGTTCTACTGAGGCACGGTTCTACTGAGGCACGGTTCTACTGAGGCACGGTTCTACTGAGGCACGGTTCTACTGCGGCACGGTTCTACTGAGGCCTGGTTCTACTGAGGCACGGTTCTACTGAGGCACGGTTCTACTGAGGCCTGGTTCTACTGAGGCACGGTTCTACTGAGGCACGGTTCTACTGTGGCCTGGTTCTACTGAGGCACGGTTCTACTGAGGCACGGTTCTACTGTGGCCTGGTTCTACTGAGGCACGGTTCTACTGAGGCACGGTTCTACTGAGGCATGGTTCTACTGAGGCACGGTTCTACTGAGGCCTGGTTCTACTGTGGCATGGTTCTACTGAGGCACGGTTCTACTGAGGCCTGGTTCTACTGAGGCACGGTTCTACTGTGGCACGGTTCTACTGAGGCACGGTTCTACTGTGGCACGGTTCTACTGAGGCACGGTTCTACTGAGGCACGGTTCTACTGAGGCACGGTTCTACTGAGGCACGGTTCTACTGAGGCACGGTTCTACTGAGGCACGGTTCTACTGAGGCACGGTTCTACTGAGGCACGGTTCTACTGAGGCACGGTTCTACTGAGGCACGGTTCTACTGTGGCCTGGTTCTACTGAGGCACGGTTCTACTGAGGCACGGTTCTACTGAGGCACGGTTCTACTGAGGCACGGTTCTACTGTGGCACAGTTCTACTGAGGCACGGTTCTACTGAGGCCTGGTTCTACTGAGGCACGGTTCTACTGAGGCACAGTTCTACTGAGGCACGGTTCTACTGAGGCACGGTTCTACTGAGGCACGGTTCTACTGTGGCCTGGTTCTACTGAGGCACGGTTCTACTGAGGCATGGTTCTACTGAGGCACGGTTCTACTGAGGCACGGTTCTACTGTGGCACGGTTCTACTGAGGCACGGTTCTACTGAGGCACGGTTCTACTGAGGCACGGTTCTACTGAGGCACGGTTCTACTGAGGCACGGTTCTACTGTGGCCTGGTTCTACTGAGGCACGGTTCTACTGTGGCCTGGTTCTACTGAGGCACAGTCTCCTCATTGTTCCTAATTGTTTGGAGGTTTAGACTCACCAGCAGGTCCAAACCTGGTTCTGATCAGGGCTCCACGTAGACCTGGGTCTCTTGGGTCAGACCAGCCCGGTTCTTGGTTCCTCCTAACATTGCCAACTGCAGGTCCAGACAGAGGGAACCCTGTGAGGCTGGCAGCAGAACCTCTGCAGCTTTAGATTCGGTTCTGGGTCCTACCTGACATGGGCTGGTCTTGTAAGTGCACTCCGGCGGCCCCTGGTCCGGACCTTGCTGCTGGTACCACCACACATCCACCTGGAAGCGCTCCACCTCATCCTCACCATAGGGGAGAACCACATCGAGCTGAGCAGGACCCTCTGAGCTCGACTGGAACGTCTGCTGACCGGAACCAGAACCGCCATGGATCTGCCAGCCAGAGTTGTGTGTCTGCAGGATGCTGCTCAGAAGGCTCTCGCCATGGACCTGCAGGTCAGAGGTTCTGATGGAGACGACTGGACCTGGACAGAACCAGGTTCCCAGTACATCTGGGTCTGGTACACAGGCTTCAGAACTTTCAGAATATTTCATCTGAAAAACCCAAATGACTGAAAGGATCTTCTGATCCTAGATTCTCAGTCTAGCAAACAGAACCTGGCTGGAACCTTGGTTCTGGAACCATCAGTTCAACTTAGATGATTTCTATGATTCAAATCCTTTCATCTCAGGTCACTTTATAGATGCAGTCCATGAACTGACCAGAGTTCATGGACGGCATTGTTCCCGCTCCATGCCATCCCCTCTCTCTATCGTCCTTCTCTCCAAGCACAAAGTTTCCTTTAGGAGAGGAGGAGGAGCACGCTTTCCTAAGACCCGCCCCTTCTTCTTCTGATTGGCTAATGCTGTTAGGTTAAGAGCGCTCCTTTGCTACCATTGGCTAGAAAACGCAGGAGGGATTTCATTTGTCTTTTTTTTTATTTACCGTCAGTTTATTTGGGTGATTTTTTTAACCCATGGTAAGGTGAGCAGATCTCTGCAACTAATCTGAGGACATTTCCAGCTCAGAGATCAAATTAAATAAATACATTTTCTGAAAATTAAAACAGGAAACAGGGACAGTGTGAAATCCAGGAAAGCATCTCTTCCATTTCCTCAGATAAATAATATTAATCAATCAATAGTGATTAGAGACATTCAGTCTTGTGTCTTCTGCCCTTTTCAGCAATATAACATTGTGTTCAGGGACAGGCCAGTTTGCATCAGTAGTCTGTGGGAATTTTCCCCTTTTTCTATTCCAAAAAATTTAAATAAAACTTTTTTATATATATACAAATGGGAAACATATTTTTTTTCTAAACAATGCTAACTCTAAAATAAAATGGCCTCCAGTTGTTTCTGTTTTATCCTGGTCAGTTGCAGAGCATTGGGTCGCCTCCAGCAGCCTGGATTATAATCTGTGTCACTGTTAAAAAATGGACGTTAGATTTTATTATTCTGATTAAATTCCAACCATTAAAACACATCAATAAGTCTGGATCATGGTGATGAGCAGCTTGAAGCAGCCGCACCAAATAACCTGTTTTATTGTCAATAAACGATTAGATGAATGAAGAATAAACTCTCAGGGCATAAAAATCATTTGTCCTTTAATAAACGATTTGGGCAGAACCCGCACATGAATGCTGAAAGGGATTATTTTAATATTTATATTAAATTAAGCGTTTATCTCCACATGTTTTGCTCCTATGAATTTAATAATCTGATGATACCCAGCTATATCTGTCTATAATCCAGATGAAGCTAACCCATTACATAGATTACAGGCATGTCTGAAGACATAAAAACCTGGATGACTCTTAACTTTCTGCTCCTGAATGCAGACAAAACAGAAGTTATAGTCTTTGGACCAGAGTCTCTGAAAAATAAGCTGATTAGCCAGTCACTTCATCTGGATGGGATTAAACTGGTTTCAGATCATAAAGTAAAACATCTTGGTGTTGTTTTTGATCAGGACCTGTCATTTAAATCCCAGATCAAAGAGGTTTCTAGAATTTCCTTCTTTCATCTGAGGAATATTGCTAAAATTAGCAATCTCCTGTCCAGGGGTGATGCTGAGAAACTAGTCCATGCATTTGTTACTTCAAGGCTGGACTATTGTAATTCTTTACTATCAGGAAGTCCACAAACTGTAGTTAAAAGCCTTCAGCTGATCCAAAATGCTGCAGCCAGAGTTCTGATGAAAATGAAAAAGAGAGATCATATCTCTCCTATCCTGGCTTCTCTTCATTGGCTTCCTGTTAAATCCAGAATAGAATTTAAAATCCTCCTTCTCACATATAAAGCCTTAAATGGCCAAGCTCCATCTGATATCAGAGATCTGATTGTTCCTTATGTTCCTAACAGAGCACTTCGCTCTCAATCTGCAGGTTTACTAGTGGTTCCTAGAATTTCTAAAAGTAGAATGGGAGGCAGATCTTTTAGTTCTCAGGCTCCTCTCCTGTGGAACCAACTACCAGTTTTAGTCCGTGAGGCAGACACCCTGTCTACTTTTAAGGCTAGGCTTAAAACTTTCCTTTTTGATAAAGCTTCTAGTTAGAGTGGCTCAGGTTATCCTGATCTATCTCTATAGTTCTGCTGCTATAGGCTTAGACTGCTGGAGGACATAGGGACCCCTTTTTCATCATTCTGCTTCATTCTATCTCTATTCTCCCACTCTGCAGAATCTGTTAGTTCAATCTCTAACGTTCTGCTCTCTCTGCTTTTTCTCATAGTAGCTTCATCTGGTCTGTTCCTGTTTGGCTGTGACTCCATCCTGGAGAGAAATATCAGCTGTGCTGCTGCCATCAACACCTTTGTTTCTAGATGTTGGAGCTTGGCCTGTTTTCCAGTGTAGTCCTGTTTCTCTGACTGTGACTAACTGGATGTGCTCTCTTCATCCTCTGACATGGGAGCTGGCTCGGAGCTCGTCTGCCTGGCTGTGTGTTTCCTGGACGGGGTCGCCTGTGGAGCTGGTTGACAGTTGCCTTTTGTATCTATGCTTCTTTTTCTATGTCTGCTTCTGTCTCCTTGAACCCCAGTGGGCCTCAGCAGATGGCCGCTCACACTGAGCCTGGTTCTGCTGGAGGTTTCTTCCTGTTCAAAGGGAGTTTTTCCTCTCCACTGTCGCTACAAGCATGCTTAGTGTGAGGGATTGCTGAAGAGTCAATGTCTCCTGTCTTTACCTGCTTGTCTTGTAAAGTCAATGATTGGATGATCTGGTTAATCTAGATCTGTAAAGGGACCTGAGATGACAGGATGTGAATTGGAGAATAGAAATACACTGAATAGAACTCAGAGGACAGCTGATGTTCTGCATATCAGCCATGTTTACCATTGTTAACAAACATCCTTCATTCTCATGTAGTCTTTATTTTAAGACAAAATGATTTTCTTCCATTCAGAGCAGGGCTCCATTCCACAAAGCAGGTTTACTGAAAACTCTAAGTTTGCTCAACCTGAATTCAGTGAAACTCTGACACTGTTTCACAAAGAGAGTTTCCTTGTCCTCTGTTTCTGTTGCCATAGTAACATCCTCCCAGAGCTAACCTGGTCAGCAGCAGGTTTCCTTCAGTAGACTCAGTGTCCTCTGTCTCCCTACAGCCAATCACTGTTTAATTTCCTTATTTAGTCTGATTTATGTCGTAGTTTTGTTCATAAAAAAAAAATATATATATAGTGTATATAATATATGTATATACGTATATATATAAATAAATATATACGTAAAGACTTTAGGGTTAGGATTCACTCAATGACAACCTAACCTAATAAGCCTACTGGCACAATCTGAGGCCATGCTATGGGATGGATAACCATTGGGATGATAACATCCGAAGTACGGCTGGAAACAGCCTCTTAGTATTTACTGTTTTAGAGAGGACTGCCTGAACATGAGATGATGTACAGGTTCTATTTATTACAACGTTTTTATTCTTCATCTTCACCTGCTGACAGAAGAGTTCACCTAAATAGATCCATTGATCTACTGCCATTCAAGAAATAATCCCCTAATATCGTCACGGTAACAAACTACGGCAAGCCATTTTGATATCTACTATTTTACTGAATATGTGTTCCTTATATCAGAAAAAAACATGTTTTCTTTGTCTAAATGAGCATTTCAAACAAAATGAGCTTCTCCACATCTAGAATAAACATTCTATGTCTACAAAATAATTGCAGATCTTCATATTCCTAATATTACTGGTCCTCATTTGTATTATTCTAACTATAAAAAAATATTTTTCAGATATCAAATATACATTTTCCGTCAAGCTGATAAATCTCAGAATGGCCACTTAAAGTCTAAACATTTCTAGATATATAAAACCAAATTCTAACAAATATATATATTTTGATTTGTTTCATAAAATTCAGTTTCTGGTACAAAAATGTAAATTAGAAAATATTTTATTCCAGTTAGGTCTAGGAGTGTGATTCTGATCAGGAAGAATCTTATTTTAGTGATCTACTAATGCAACAACAGAGAGGAGAGTGTTTTAAATAAATGCTAAATCGGCCTGCCATATTACACTTCATATAAATTACTCATTAAGTGGAGCAACAATCTTCTCCCTCTCCATCTTCCTCCCCTCTGCAGCTGTAGAACTGTTTCTCTGTCCTTTAAACAGTCTCCTTTTTTATTTTATTTAATGTTTTTGCATTTCTGCATTAAAATCTCTAGTTCCAGTGGGGTGAAATAGGCACTTCCTGTTGCCTGTTGTCATGGTAACTCGTTGAATCGCTCCACTCATAAAGGCTTTTCATACGCACGTGTTTAGCTCTGAGTGGACCTAGTTTAAACTGATTAAACTCATTTATAGCAGCCACTGTAAAACCAAATTGTCAAGTTCCCGACTTTAGGCTAGATAGATAAATCTAGAGTTGAGGATTTGAATCTGAGTTTGTTAAACCTGCTTTGTGAAACGGACCCCAGATATGTTGAATTTATTGATGTCTTTGTTTTATAGTGAGTTGTGGAATTTTCCCCCATTTTATGATTTTTCTTGGCTTAGATTCAAACTGTTCGGAATCAGCTGATCTGGGCCCCTTTGGAGCCAAAGGGGCTGGTTGTCATGGAAACTGAAGCTATGGGATAGTGATGGCGTAAAAGACAAGCAGACAAAGTATGGGGTTTTCGAAATAAAATGGAATTTATTTTAGATTGATTGAAGAATGAAACCTCGTGGTTTTATTGTTGTAAACAGGGCTGTCAGTCATAGCAGTAATCTGAAAATAATCTGGATACCGTATCAATCATGGGGTCGTATTCCTGCCTTTTGGTTTTCCGGATTTTTTGCTGGTTAGATTAAAATGAGCTGAAATGCCCTTAAAACAGAGTCGGTTCTATTTGTGTTATTGGTCCTTTTTACTGTGTGCATGCTGAGTGGAGAACCTGGTTCTGATCATTGGCCCGCCCTATGCCCCGCCCCTCCCCACCCCGCCCTCAGCTGCACCTGATCAGGATCCCTGATGCATCAGAGATCAGAGACAGGTAGTCTGTCTGCCCAGGTGGGGGCAGCAGTTAGCACATGCTCAGTGTGATCTGTGTCAGACTGACCTCTGAGCTGCTGCTGGACTGCTGGCTGTCAGGAGCACCATCCCTGTCGTCTCCCTCTGCCAGGCTCATCCTTCTGGAGAAATCCTCCTCCTGGAGCACAAACAGCATCAGCCTGAGCTTCCATCAGCTGATCTTCAGCTGGACTCTGCTCACCTCAACCTTGCAGGCAGGGAGCTTCAGTGGCGTTGGCGTCTGAGGAGCCACTAACAGTGCTGTGCTGAGCATGTTAGGATTGAGGGAGTAGAGGGGAGTGGAGGTGAGAACCTGATACTGGAGGTTCATCTCATCAACCACACTCTGACCAAAGACCTGAGACGGGTAAACAATGAACAAAGACCTGAGACGGGTAAACAATGACCAAAGACCTGAGACGGGTAAACACTGACCAAAGACCTGAGACGGGTAAACACTGACCAAAGACCTGAGACGGGTAAACACTGACCAAAGACCTGAGACGGGTAAACAATGACCAAAGACCTGAGACGGGTAAACACTGACCAAAGACCTGAGACGGGTAAACAATGACCAAAGACCTGAGACGGGTAAACAATGACCAAAGACCTGAGACGGGTAAACAATGACCAAAGACCTGAGACGGGTAAACACTGACCAAAGACCTGAGACGGGTAAACAATGACCAAAGACCTGAGACGGGTAAACAATGACCAAAGACCTGAGACGGGTAAACAATGACCAAAGACCTGAGACGGGTAAACACTGACCAAAGACCTGAGACGGGTAAACACTGACCAAAGACCTGAGACGGGTAAACAATGACCAAAGACCTGAGACGGGTAAACAATGACCAAAGACCTGAGACGGGTAAACACTGACCAAAGACCTGAGACGGGTAAACAATGACCAAAGACCTGAGACGGGTAAACAATGACCAAAGACCTGAGACGGGTAAACAATGACCAAAGACCTGAGACGGGTAAACACTGACCAAAGACCTGAGACGGGTAAACAATGACCAAAGACCTGAGACGGGTAAACACTGACCAAAGACCTGAGACGGGTAAACACTGACCAAAGACCTGAGACGGGTAAACACTGACCAAAGACCTGAGACGGGTAAACAATGACCAAAGACCTGAGACGGGTAAACAATGACCAAAGACCTGAGACGGGTAAACAATGACCAAAGACCTGAGACGGGTAAACAATGACCAAAGACCTGAGACGGGTAAACAATGACCAAAGACCTGAGACGGGTAAACAATGACCAAAGACCTGAGACGGGTAAACACTGACCAAAGACCTGAGACGGGTAAACACTGACCAAAGACCTGAGACGGGTAAACAATGACCAAAGACCTGAGACGGGTAAACACTGACCAAAGACCTGAGACGGGTAAACAATGACCAAAGACCTGAGACGGGTAAACAATGACCAAAGACCTGAGACGGGTAAACAATGACCAAAGACCTGAGACGGGTAAACAATGACCAAAGACCTGAGACGGGTAAACAATGACCAAAGACCTGAGACGGGTAAACACTGACCAAAGACCTGAGACGGGTAAACAATGACCAAAGACCTGAGACGGGTAAACAATGACCAAAGACCTGAGACGGGTAAACACTGACCAAAGACCTGAGACGGGTAAACAATGACCAAAGACCTGAGACGGGTAAACAATGACCAAAGACCTGAGACGGGTAAACAATGACCAAAGACCTGAGACGGGTAAACAATGACCAAAGACCTGAGACGGGTAAACACTGACCAAAGACCTGAGACGGGTAAACAATGACCAAAGACCTGAGACGGGTAAACAATGACCAAAGACCTGAGACGGGTAAACAATGACCAAAGACCTGAGACGGGTAAACACTGACCAAAGACCTGAGACGGGTAAACACTGACCAAAGACCTGAGACGGGTAAACAATGACCAAAGACCTGAGACGGGTAAACAATGACCAAAGACCTGAGACGGGTAAACAATGACCAAAGACCTGAGACGGGTAAACAATGACCAAAGACCTGAGACGGGTAAACAATGACCAAAGACCTGAGACGGGTAAACAATGACCAAAGACCTGAGACGGGTAAACAATGACCAAAGACCTGAGACGGGTAAACACTGACCAAAGACCTGAGACGGGTAAACACTGACCAAAGACCTGAGACGGGTAAACACTGACCAAAGACCTGAGACGGGTAAACAATGACCAAAGACCTGAGACGGGTAAACAATGACCAAAGACCTGAGACGGGTAAACACTGACCAAAGACCTGAGACGGGTAAACACTGACCAAAGACCTGAGACGGGTAAACAATGACCAAAGACCTGAGACGGGTAAACAATGACCAAAGACCTGAGACGGGTAAACAATGACCAAAGACCTGAGACGGGTAAACAATGACCAAAGACCTGAGACGGGTAAACAATGACCAAAGACCTGAGATGGGTAAACAATGACCAAAGACCTGAGACGGGTAAACACTGACCAAAGACCTGAGACGGGTAAACACTGACCAAAGACCTGAGACGGGTAAACACTGACCAAAGACCTGAGACGGGTAAACACTGACCAAAGACCTGAGACGGGTAAACACTGACCAAAGACCTGAGACGGGTAAACAATGACCAAAGACCTGAGACGGGTAAACAATGACCAAAGACCTGAGACGGGTAAACAATGACCAAAGACCTGAGACGGGTAAACAATGACCAAAGACCTGAGACGGGTAAACACTGACCAAAGACCTGAGACGGGTAAACAATGACCAAAGACCTGAGACGGGTAAACAATGACCAAAGACCTGAGACGGGTAAACACTGACCAAAGACCTGAGACGGGTAAACACTGACCAAAGACCTGAGACGGGTAAACAATGACCAAAGACCTGAGACGGGTAAACAATGACCAAAGACCTGAGACGGGTAAACACTGACCAAAGACCTGAGACGGGTAAACACTGACCAAAGACCTGAGACGGGTAAACAATGACCAAAGACCTGAGACGGGTAAACAATGACCAAAGACCTGAGACGGGTAAACACTGACCAAAGACCTGAGACGGGTAAACACTGACCAAAGACCTGAGACGGGTAAACAATGACCAAAGACCTGAGACGGGTAAACAATGACCAAAGACCTGAGACGGGTAAACACTGACCAAAGACCTGAGACGGGTAAACACTGACCAAAGACCTGAGACGGGTAAACAATGACCAAAGACCTGAGACGGGTAAACACTGACCAAAGACCTGAGACGGGTAAACAATGACCAAAGACCTGAGACGGGTAAACAATGACCAAAGACCTGAGACGGGTAAACAATGACCAAAGACCTGAGACGGGTAAACACTGACCAAAGACCTGAGACGGGTAAACAATGACCAAAGACCTGAGACGGGTAAACAATGACCAAAGACCTGAGACGGGTAAACAATGACCAAAGACCTGAGACGGGTAAACACTGACCAAAGACCTGAGACGGGTAAACAATGACCCAAGACCTGAGACGGGTAAACACTGACCAAAGACCTGAGACGGGTAAACAATGACCAAAGACCTGAGACGGGTAAACACTGACCAAAGACCTGAGACGGGTAAACAATGACCAAAGACCTGAGACGGGTAAACACTGACCAAAGACCTGAGACGGGTAAACAATGACCAAAGACCTGAGACGGGTAAACAATGACCCAAGACCTGAGACGGGTAAACAATGACCAAAGACCTGAGACGGGTAAACAATGACCAAAGACCTGAGACGGGTAAACAATGACCCAAGACCTGAGACGGGTAAACAATGACCAAAGACCTGAGACGGGTAAACACTGACCAAAGACCTGAGACGGGTAAACAATGACCAAAGACCTGAGACGGGTAAACACTGACCAAAGACCTGAGACGGGTAAACAATGACCAAAGACCTGAGACGGGTAAACAATGACCAAAGACCTGAGACGGGTAAACAATGACCCAAGACCTGAGACGGGTAAACAATGACCAAAGACCTGAGACGGGTAAACACTGACCAAAGACCTGAGACGGGTAAACAATGACCAAAGACCTGAGACGGGTAAACACTGACCAAAGACCTGAGACGGGTAAACACTGACCAAAGACCTGAGACGGGTAAACACTGACCAAAGACCTGAGACGGGTAAACAATGACCAAAGACCTGAGACGGGTAAACACTGACCAAAGACCTGAGACGGGTAAACACTGACCAAAGACCTGAGACGGGTAAACACTGACCAAAGACCTGAGACGGGTAAACACTGACCAAAGACCTGAGACGGGTAAACACTGACCAAAGACCTGAGACGGGTAAACACTGACCAAAGACCTGAGACGGGTAAACACTGACCAAAGACCTGAGACGGGTAAACAATGACCAAAGACCTGAGACGGGTAAACAATGACCAAAGACCTGAGACGGGTAAACACTGACCAAAGACCTGAGACGGGTAAACAATGACCAAAGACCTGAGACGGGTAAACACTGACCAAAGACCTGAGACGGGTAAACACTGACCAAAGACCTGAGACGGGTAAACACTGACCAAAGACCTGAGACGGGTAAACAATGACCAAAGACCTGAGACGGGTAAACAATGACCAAAGACCTGAGACGGGTAAACAATGACCAAAGACCTGAGACGGGTAAACACTGACCAAAGACGTGAACATGTGTGGGTTTTTCTGGACTGCTTTTTACCTCTGATGGAGAGTATACTGCTGCTTCCATCATGCTGCTTGTCACCCAGGATGAGTCCAGGAAGGAGGAACCTCCATCAGGTGTCTCCAGCTGTTCTTTCACATCAGGAACCTGTGGATTACAGCAGCTACCTTATCTGTCTTATTTGCTTTTTCCTTCAAAGGTAAGTTGAGTGTTTTTTGGTAAATGGCGTCTACTTATATAGAGCTTTTAGTGTCAGAGGACTTGACCAAAATGCTTTCCTCTACATTCAGTCAGACACTGATGGTGGTGAGCTACATAGTAGCCATAGCTGCCCTGGGTTTGACTGACAGAAGCCAGGCTGCTGTACAGTGGGGCCACTGGGCCCTCTGACCACCATCAGACTTGAAGCTTCAGGTCTGAGATCTGATCCTTTAAACCTTTCTGCGTTCTACTTACGTAGCTTCGGCTCAGGTCGATGGGAGAACTGGTGTCAACTGTGAGCAGGCAGGCAGTGGGGGGCTCCTGGGGGTCATTATGCCGTGAGGTCATTTCCTGGTTTCTGCAGACCCATTCCTCCAGGTTCTGTGTTGAAGATAATGCATTTAATCATCTTGGAGGAAACTTAGTAGGAAAGCGGTTCCCGGGTTAAAACAATCATCCACGGGTGTCCATGTTTAGAAAGCAGGAAGGCAGAGAGCCTGACAGACAGAGCAGAGGGATGGAGCACAGCAGACTGTCACCATGTCCATCAGATCTGAGGAGGCTTCCTGCTTGCACATGTTATCAGAGGAGCTGCACCCTGAGCATGAGGCAGGAGCCCAGAAGGAGCAAAGGTTGGTGGAGGTCCCATGTGGTGTCCAGGTGCTCTGACTGGAGGAGACGCTGGACTGCTCTTTACTGGTGGACAGACTGCGTGCCTGCAGAAAGAAAGGGCAGTGTTAGCGTCCCAACCAGCCGTCCCATTATCCCTGGTCAGAGGGGCAGACCTGGATGTGAGCTCTGTAGGACTCATGGTTCCGGGTCCCAGGTGTGGAGGTGGAGCTTGAGCCATGAGGGTGCAGAAAGTGCAGGTATTTCTCTTTCTCCACCTTCATCTTTAAGGTGGAGTTCCAGTGATTTTTAATGGAGTTATCCGTCCTGAAAGACACAGCAGTCCCATCAGAACACCAGCAGACACCCTGTCTACTTTGCAGGTTTACTAGTGGTTCCTAGAATTTCTAAAATTAGAATGGGAGGCAGATCTTTTAGTTCTCAGGCTCCTCTCCTGTGGAACCAACTACCAGTTTTAGTCCGTGAGGCAGACACCCTGTCTACTTTTAAGGCTAGGCTTAAAACTTTCCTTTTTGATAAAGCTTCTAGTTAGAGTGGCTCAGGTTATCCTGAGCTATCTCTATAGTTCTGCTGCTATAGGCTTAGACTGCTGGAGGACATAGGGACCCCTTTTTCATCATTCTGCTTCATTCTATCTCTATTCTCCCACTCTGCAGAATCTGTTAGTTCAATCTCTAACGTTCTGCTCTCTCTGCTTTTTCTCATAGTAGCTTCATCTGGTCTGTTCCTGTTTGGCTGTGACTCCATCCTGGAGAGAAATATCAGCTGTGCTGCTGCCATCAACACCTTTGTTTCTAGATGTTGGAGCTTGGCCTGTTTTCCAGTGTAGTCCTGTTTCTCTGACTGTGACTAACTGGATGTGCTCTCTTCATCCTCTGACATGGGAGCTGACTCGGAGCTCGTCTGCTTACACACAGAACCCCCAGGTCAGTAGAAACACCTAAACTGAACGCGGTCCATTTAGGCTACGTTCACACTGCAGCGTGAAGTGACCCAAATCTGATTTTTTAGCCCATATGCGACCTGGATCTGATCTTTTCATGGCAGTCTGAACAATACAGATCCGGTTTTTTCCCATCCACTTGGCTCTGTGGTCCTGAATCCGATAAGAATCTGATCTTTTCAAATGTGACCTGTGTGTGAACGGCCAGGTCGGATTCATCTGACCTGAACGCCATTAGTAACCAACAAGGTCACTATTCCGCATCTTGCTACACAGAAGCGGCAATACAAATACCATGGCGGACGATGATGCGGAGAGCAGTATTTTTTTTTAAGCATCTTGAAAAGATTGAGGTTTTAAGGTTAGGAAAGTTCACTAGATGCGCTCCAGCGCTACCATCCATGTTTACTTCCGTAAACACGAAGCACGCTGGCCTGTGACATCATTGCGTCCTCTACTGCGCATGCGGGACACTTGCGTTGTATGACTGCAGTTCACACAGGAGATTGCATACAAGTCGCATATATTTGAAAATGTGAACGGCAACGCAAAAAAATTGGATTTCACAAAAAAATCGTAATTGAGCGTCAAGGCCTGCAGAGTGAACGTAGCCTTAAGGCTTATTTATACTTCCAAACCAGGTCCTCTGCGTAGGTGTCGCAGTGAACAAAAAGACGTCCCGCCCCCTAAAAGACGTCCCGCCCCCTCCACAAACACGCTGCTCCTCTCCCTGATTGTAGCTGACCGCAGACAGGAGGCGGCTTGTTTTGTTTTTATGACCGAAATTGAAGAAAACAACTGGTGAAGTTTGACCCGCTAGCAGAGCGAGGTGAGAACGCTGCGACCCTTTTTCCACCTGGATCCTCACTCTTTTTGGCCGTCATGTCCCTCCATTGTCACACAGACTGGCCTCCACTTCCACACCGCCTCGGCCGTATCTAGACCCACAGCTAGTTCCTGATTGGCCCTCTGGCGTTGTGGCGTGGAATAACATTGCGCAGACCACGCTTCAATATTGAGCATAAATCAAAAATGTCTGGTTAAGCTCACACCCTGCTGGGGGAGGAGAACCAGGCCTTCAGTCAGGTCCAGCTCCCTCTGCATGGCTGCTCTGGTCCGTTTCCCTGCGGTTTCACACCCTGTTCACCAACCTGCCAGGCAGAAGCTTGGAGATGTCGGCCCAGCGGTTCCCCAGCACTCTGTGCGCCTGGCAGATGACCCGGTCCTCCTCAGCAGTCCAGCTGCCCTTCTTCACCTCCGGGTTCAGGTGGTTGTGCCAACGCTCGCGGCACTGCTTCCCGTTGCGGGTGTGATGGTGTTTGGCGATGAGCGACCAGCGCTTCAGGCCGTACTTCTGGACCAGCTCCAGAACCTGAACAGGAAGCAGCAGAGGTGGGTCAGAGGAGCCGGGGTGGGTCAGAGCAGGACTGGTTCTGAAGAGAAGCTTTACCCGTTGGTCCTCCTCCTGACTCCACGGCCCTTTGACCAGCTCCGGGTTCACCAGCTGCTCCCAGCGTCTTTGACACTGTAGCTCTGACCTTTGACCCTGTGAGAGAGCGCCTCCTGCTGGTACCACAGGACTCTGCCATAGTGACCCAGGGTCTGGTTTATCAAGCCTGCTTACGCACTAAATCAGCCCAGAAACTCGCTGCACGACCGGTTGGATCCATTAAACCTGAGGTGATGCTGAAAGCTTGTTGACGGGGGGGGCTAACTTCTACGCTGCTTCCAGATGTTTATCAGAACCAGATGTTTATCAACTCTTCACCTGCAGCCACTTTAGGAGGAGATCAACCAGAGGAATCACAGCCAGCTCTGAGCTCCAGTTAGCCCCGTCCATCCTCCCATCCCCCTCCCCACCCATGGGCCAACGGTATCTGATAAACTCTGGGTTTCCCTGTCTCTTGGCAGCGGTTGCCATGGTCACCATGATCAATGGCAGGGAGGGCTCCTTCTGTGCGCAGCAGGCTCTGATAAACCCCCCCCCGGTCCCCCATCCTCACCCTGAAGTGCAGAGCCACCGTGGACCAGCTGCTGGGGCCACAGTCCTTCACCAGGCGCCGCAGCATGTCGTCCTGAAGACAGCATCATCACCATCATCATCATCATCATCATCATCACCATCATCATCACCAGCCTCATCATCACCATCATCATCTGCCTCATCATCACCATCATCACCATACTCATCACCATCACCAGCCTCATCATCATCATCATCACCATCATCATTATCATCAGCCTCATCATCATCACCATCACCATCATCATCACCATCATCAGCCTCATCATCATCATCATCAGCCTCATCATAATCACCATCACCATCATCACCATCATCATCATCAGCCTCATCATCATCACCATCACCAGCCTCATCACCATCACCAGCCTCATCATCATCATCATCATCATCATCATCATCACCAGCCTCATCATCATCACCATCACCATCATCACCATCACCATCATCACCATCATCATCATCATCATCATCATCACCATCATCATCATCATCATCATCAGCCTCATCATCATCACCATCATCATCATCATCATCACCATCACCTGCCTCATCACCATCATCATCTGCCTCATCATCATCATCATCACCATCATCATCATCATCACCATCATCTGCCTCATCATCATCATCACCATCACCAGCCTGATCATCACCATCATCAGCCTCATCATCATCACCATCATCATCACCATCACCAGCCTCATCATCACCATCATCATCATCATCACCATCATCATCATCATCATCATCAGCCTCATCATCATCACCATCATCATCATCATCATCATCATCATCACCATCACCAGCCTCATCATCACCATCATCAGCCTCATCATCATCACCATCATCATCATCACCATCATCATCATCATTATCATCAGCCTCATCATCATCACCATCACCATCATCAGCCTCATCACCATCACCAGCCTCATCATCACCATCATCAGCCTCATCACCATCATCATCATCATCATCCTCATCATCATCATCACCATCATCATCTGCCTCATCATCACCATCATCATCATCATCATCATCATCATCACCATCATCATCATCACCATCATCATCATCATCATCATCAGCCTCATCATCATCACCATCATCATCATCACCATCACCAGCCTCATCATCACCATCATCAGCCTCATCATCATCACCATCATCATCATCATCATCATCATCATCATCATCACCATCACCAGCCTCATCATCACCATCATCATCATCATCAGCCTCATCATCATCACCATCATCACCATCATCTGCCTCATCATCATCATCATCATCACCATCACCAGCCTCATCATCACCATCATCAGCCTCATCATCATCACCATCATCATCATCATCACCATCACCAGCCTCATCATCACCATCACCATCATCACCATCATCTGCCTCATCATCACCATCATCACCATCACCATCATCACCATCACCTGCCTCATCATCATCATCACCATCACCATCATCACCATCATCTGCCTCATCATCATCATCATCACCATCACCATCATCTGCCTCATCACCATCATCATCATCACCATCACCATCATCACCATCATCTGCCTCATCATCATCATCATCACCATCACCATCATCACCATCATCATCATCATCATCATCATCACCATCATCATCATCATCAGCCTCATCATCATCACCATCATCATCATCATCATCATCATCATCATCACCATCATCAGCCTGATCATCATCACCATCATCACCATCATCATCATCACCATCATCAGCCTCATCATCATCACCATCATCACCATCATCATCATCATCAGCCTCATCATCATCATCATCATCATCATCACCATCATCATCATCACCATCATCAGCCTCATCATCATCACCATCATCACCATCATCACCATCATCATCATCACCATCATCATCACCATCATGATCACCATCATCACCATCACAGGTCAGCTGGGCTTACCTCCTCTTCGCTCCATGCTAGCTTCTGCAAAGATGCTTTGGAGGATCTCTTGACCCGTCTGGATCGGGTCCTGGAGCAGAAACAGAGCAGAACAGTTTCACTGATCAATAATATGATCAATGAAGTTATAAAGTGATCTATAATTGATAAAGTGATCAATAATATGATCAATGAAGTTATAAAGTGATCTATAATTGATAAAGTGATCAATAATATGATCAATAAAGTGATCAATAAAGTGAAAAATTGATCAATAAATTGATCAATAAAGTGATGAAGTGATGATTAATAAAGTTCTGTTCTGTTCTATGTATTTCTATAGCTCCATGCTGTCCTCTCAGGTCACTCTATAGATCCAGATCATCCAGATCATCCAGTCAGATCCTATCTAGCAGAGGTTTCTCTATGGTCCTCCTCCAGCAGCAGAAGGTGGAGGTTCGGTTCTGACCTGGTCCAGTGGTTCCGGGGGCTCATCTGGTTCTGATCAACTGGACCTGGTCCTGCTGGATCAGAAGGTTAGAACTGTTAGAACTGAGCAGAGATTAAACTGATCCAACCGAACCGCTTTTCTGATCGCTCACACATCCGGTTCGGTTCGGTTTTAACCCCCATAAACAATCAACCCTCTGGGACCGAACCGTCCGAAGCAGCGGCAGTTAGCCGGACCTTCACCTGCCGTTAGCCGTTAAAGTCCAACCGACGCCACCGATCGGCCCGCCTCAGCAACCGGAACCGACCCGACACCAGTGGACCGAACCTCCGGGGAGCGGGACCCAGCAGCTGGTTCCGCCGCGGTCCAGATGTCAGAACCAACGGTACAACGGTTTGAGTCCTGGCGCTGAAGGGACTCTAGCTTCCAGCTGATTGGACAGAACTGGCGGTGACGTCACTGAGCCGCTTCGGTCACAGCCATCAGGGGCGATCCTAGAGCAAAGCAGGGGGGGCCAGGCAGCAGTGATGATGATGATGGTGATGATGGTGATGATGATGATGATGATGACGAAGATGATGATGATGATGATGATGATGATGATGGTGATGATGATGATGATGATGATGATGAAGATTATGATGATGATGAAGGACAACATCCATGTAACCAGCGATTCACTGATCAGAAGCAGATTCTCTGAGATTATTCATCAGATCAGTGCAATAATCTGCTGATGCAGTGAAACCAAAGACTTTCAAGACTAGATCTAAGATATTTAGTTTGTTTATTCAGACATTAAATCCTCGTCTAATTCTGGTTCTATGGATGCTGCCCGTTCTGTCCGCACCTTTCAGATTTTAGAAAAAATGATCACAGAAAAATGTCTAAGAAGAACATAATAGTGAAGAGTTAAATATAAACAAAAAAATCCTGTAAAGTGATTTAACAATATTAAACTGCAGAATAAATAACCAATATGCAGCAAGATCAGAGAAGTGCAGAATGCTGTGGTGTCAAAAGTTCACACATTTGTTACTTCAGTAGAAGTATAGATACCGCAGTTTAAAAACACTCTGGTAAAAGTTGAAGTATCAGCTTGACCCGTGAAAAAGTATGTGCTCCAAAAACTACTTAAAGTATAAAAGTATAAAGAAACCTTTAAAAAAAAACAGCCAGATGCCTGGCATGAACTGAAAGATCAATTTTTCAACTATTTCTAAAATTCTCAGACATTTCAGCATCTTTTTCTGAATCCCACATTGTAGCATGGCATAGACAATTCACGTTAGCAGTTTGAAGAACACCTGCTGGCTTCTGATGGTTTCCTTTAGCTAACCAATGAGTGTTTGCGTTCTATGACTCATCCAATCACACTAGTTTTCACTAGATGTGGGCGGAGCCAATGATCTGCATTGGATGGAGCACATGACGGGAAATAAAGATTGATAAACATTAAACCAGGGGAACCAATTAAAAATCAGCTGGTCTGAATAAAGAAAATCATCAACCAGTAAAGATCTGCAGACATTTTAATTATAATCTGTTCATTTAAACAGAATTTAACACTGGAATAAAATGAGGTATTTATGCATTCATGTTATAGATTGATTTTTGAAATGTAAGAAACTAGAAATTGCCAAACATTGCGTCCTGTGCTATCTCAGAGGAGTGGACACTATGACTGTATTCCTGTATATCCATCAGTAGTTAAAGGTCAAGGGTCAGCTGTTAAACAATGACAGTGTAATTGTCTTTGTCTGATCTGAAGCCTCGTTTGGAGCTTTTAAACAGGCTTTTGAAAAACGTATAATAATAATTTGCTGCTGTAATATAATAGATTTTTTAGAATAAAAAGCTAGCAGATGAAATAACAGGAGCCACCAAACCCGACCCGGTGACGGTAGCCTGGACACAGTATGTTTCTCCCCGCCTGCCTTACTGTCCAGGCTACCGTCACCGGGTCGGATTCAGTCGCTCCGTCCCCCACTGGGACCCGGTCTGGTCCAGTCAGCTGCCCAGCAGCCTTCCCCCCAGAAAAAGGGTCCTCCTTTTCAGAGAAACCCAAATCTGGGCCGTTTATCAATATGCGTTCTGGAGCGTTCTAGTGATCCGTCATCAGCCTCAGCCAGAGCACTGACCAAGAACGCACCAAGTCCCCTGATGTTGTTCTCGCCCCTCCCTCTATACCCAGCATGCACTGCAGCAGCAGCAGCTTTCAATGGAGCGCAACATGGAAGTTAAAAGTTCTCTTTCTGTCGTTCAATAAGAAGTACTTTTAAGATCATTTGAGGGGAATATTATACTTTAAAGCGTCACTATATGGTCCATTTACAGTTTTAATGCGTGATTAAAAAAGATTTCCAAAGTTGAGGAGGACCGCAGCAACTGCAGAGTTCCAAAGCTAATGGCAGCCAGGGCTAACCTTGCCCTCTGCGTAGCCTGGGCTAACGGTGCCCGTCTGTACGCCAGGGGGGAA